ACCCGGTGTTCCATGTCTCCTTGCTTAGCAAGTACACGCGCAGCGACATCCCAGGCCGGGAGCCAGAGGAGCTGCCTGCGATCAAGGTTGAGGGCGACGAGGAGTACGAGGTTGAGCGGATCAAGGATTCGCGGATCTTCCGGCGTCAGCTGCAGTACCTCATCAAGTGGAAGGGTTATGACGACTCGCATACGTCATGGGAACCGGCGCGCAACGTTGCCAATGCGCCGGCCCTCATAGCCGACTTCCACCGGAAGAATCCGAACACCCCTCGCCGCCTCAATGCTGCTACCTTTGGTGGTCTCAACTTTCAGCCAATGCCTTCGCCGCTGACTGAAGCACGCTGCCGCTCCGGGTGGGAAATGGGCAAGGGCGCCTCGCATGAGGTCATGCGCCGTTGAGGGAGGGGTAATGTCACGACTTGGTACGGCGTCTAGCCGTTTTTTAATTTTTTCCTTTTCGCGGGCGGGTTTGAGCCCACGACCTCTGTACTACATGCCTGATATGGACGTGTCGTTATCTACTATACGATTAGATTAGATGGGGCGGCAGTGCACGGCACAGCTCGGGCTCCGCTGACACAGCCTCTCTGACTCACCGGCCCCCGGGGCCGCGTCAGCATGCTGCGCACGGACCAGCTGCGCACGAACCAGCGCGCACAGCCTGCCCTTATCTCCCCATGTATATAAGCCAGCCTCTGCTGCCCTAGGGACCTCAGTTTCGACCTCTTGTCCCTAGGTCAGTAAGCATCCTTTGTATTCCTTTTCTTACCTCACTAATATATTATCTTGTCCCTAGCCTTAGGTTTGAGCACTGCTCACCATCGCTTTGGTGAGATCCAGTCGAACGCCCCCAGCTCTCAAGTCTCCCCCTGTCGCTTGACCTCAAGTCGCGACAGTAGTCCTGTACGGGTCGAAGTGTCCCTTCCTTCTTTTTGATGAAGAAGAAAGGGGACGAGATGGGTGATTTCAACTCCCGTATATAGCCTTTTGCCAGCTGCTCTTGGAGGAACTTGTCAAGTTCCTCCTGCTCATTGTTCGACAGGGGGTACACTTTTGAATGTAAGGTCGAATAACCAGGCACGAGTTCAATTGCATGATCGTATGGCTTCCTTTCGGGTAGCCGTTCTGATGCTTCCTTTGAGAAGACCTTCAGAAACTCGTGGTACTGCTTGGGCACCGACTGTCACGAGTTGGTACGGCGCCTAGCCGTTTTTAATTTTTCCTTTTCGCGGGCTCGAACCCGCGACCTCTGTACTACTTGCCTGATACGGACGCGTTGTTATCTACTGTACGATTAGATTAGATAGGACGGCAGCGCACGGCACAGCTCGGGCCCCGCTGACACAGCCGCTCTGACTCACCGGCCCCCGGGGCCGCGTCAGCATGCTGCGCACGGACCAGCTGTGCACGGACCAACGCGCACAGCCTGCCCTAATCTCCCCATGTATATAAGCCGGCCTCTGCTGCCCTAGGGACCTCAGTTTCGACCTCTTGTCCCTAGGTCAGTAAGCTCTCTTGTACTTACTTATCTTTCCTTACTAACTAATATATTCTTGTCCCTAGCCTTAGGTTTGAGCCTCGCTCACCATCGCTTCGGTAAGAACCAGTCGGACGCCCCTCGCTTCCAGATATTCCCCTGTCGCTCGACCTCAAGTCGCGACACCGACTCCTCGGCGGTTCTAACGACCTTCTTCTTGATCTCTTCCTCAGCGAACAGCTGGGAGTACATATGCCTGGCTGCGACGAACAGTTGAGGGGCGCTGGGAAGCATGATACCTTGCTCCCAAGCCTCGATCAAGTCAGCTTCATCCCACTCGACTTCTACTGGATCTTCTTTGGGTTCGAAGTCCGGGAGCACCTTGCTCTGGCAGGCACCTATGACCGACCTTTTGGACTTAGGCGAACGCCTGCGCACCGTGGGCCTGACCCCCGTATCACATGCAGTCATTGCTTGCTCCATTCGGCCAGTCTTCCTGGCACTGCACGTTTCAGGGCATTGCGACAATTTGAGGGAGCCTTTTTCCCAATCGATCTCAGGGTTGTGCTCGCGTAGCCAATCCAACCCAACAATCACATCCTCCGGACCGATGTCCGTGACCATGAACACCGTCTTCTCGACGTGCTCTCCTATCTGCATCTGTAGCACTGCTACTTCCGAGATGCTTTCATCTTTGTTCAGGGTGCCATCGATATTGTATAGCGGAATTGGCTCCTTTAATTTCCGAGTCTGCACCTTATTTTCTACAATGAATCGCTTGTTGATAAACTTTGTGGTGGCTACGCTGTCCACCATAGCGATTATGTCCTTGTGCCGTCTTTTTCCTTGAAGTCGGACTGGAATGTGAAAGTGTTGGGACCCCTGGTCCAATTCATACACCATTGCAGTCGACAATATGTTATACTTGTTACAAGAAGATACTCGTGGCCCGACACGTGCGGCACGAAGCGCGGACTGGATCAAAAGCCCTCCTCCTTCATGGCCCAATAGAGTTCAAGCTCCTCGCGCATCGACTTCATCTGTGCTATTAAGTCCGCCAGCTCGGAATTTTCTGATTTCGCTGAAGCGGCACTTATACTCGCCAAGGATGAAGTGACAGGGGCACTTGTCGCCACCTGGGTGAAGCCCGAGGCAACCGTAGCCCGCGCGTCGGCGCGTTTTGTGTAAGGTTTGTCCTTACAGTTGGGGCACTCGAAATGTCGGTACCCTTGCTTCCCGCAGCCAAAGCAACTACCGGGGAAGTCACCTTTTCTGACGGCCGCACTGATGCTGGCCAAAGCTCCTCGTGGTTGAGGTGCACCACCACGTGCCCCTCCACGTCCTCGTCCTCGAGCCGAGAAGAAGTTGTTCAGCTTGGGCCGACGGGCCCGGCTGACGTCGAGGATTTGCTCGACCTCAGTGGCGCGCTTGTCAGCGGCTTGCCACGTGGCGAAGGTTTCGAGCTCGATTTTGTGATAGACGCGGGAGGGGATACCGCTCAGGTACTTGTCGCGTAGTTCCAGGTTCCCATACCCGGAACGGTCCGCCAGACCCTTGAACAGCGCAGAGAATTCTGCAGCGGTGCGCTTCTCGCACATAGTTTTGTCAGCACAGAGCTAGGTGAGCTCCACCTGTGCCGCGGCAGTGTCGTCGAGATTGCCAAAATGGGCCTTAAATGCCTTAAGGAAGGCTGCTTCGTCGGCGAAGGGGGTCGTCGCTCCCTGGATCCCGATTTGGACGGAGGCAAGCTGGGAGAAGATGGGGGTGACCCAAGCTCGCGCATCACCATCGAGAAGACTGAGGGCAACCTGAATCTTCAGCTCAAGGGAAGAGAGGGCCGTGTTAATCGTCCAGTAGATGAGCAACTACGAGATGAAGCGGTTGCATTCGACCACAGACTTCCTGTCATATCGGAGCGGGAGGAGGAGCTTCAGCATCTCCCTATCAGGGACGGCAGCGGGAGAGGACATTATCGGCGACGAGGAGGACAAAGGACTGCCCGCGGATGGAGGCGACTGTTGTGACTGTCTGCCGGGCGAACTTCGCGAGGAATGAGTGCTCGAGCGGCCTCGCAGCGGCGACAGCAGTGAAGACGATTGAGGAAGCCTGGAGGCGGGGTGACATAGGACAGGGACTGAAGTCGAGGAGGGGACTGTGGACGATGAGCTGGCCCAAGAATGCGATGGAGTGTCGCGGGGCTCGGCCTTGGGAGGTCTTTCCAACCGTGGCCCCAAGGAGGGCTGGGGGATCGCTTGAGGGGTCGCTGAAGGCTGTGCGACTGCCTCAGTTCCTCGAGGGAGATGGGGATCTCCTCGTGCTTGACCTGTACTGGCGACAGGTTGGGGGATGCGGGTGCCTGGAGAGGCAGGTCGAGACAGGGCAGGGGTGACGTGACAAGATGTGGATCACAATGTGCCAGCGTACCGGAGTGCAGGGCCACTGGGGTGTTGGACTCGTCGGATTGGCATGTAGCGCCCTTCATTGGCAGTGATGTGTTAAAGTTCGTCCGAGACCCAAAGCGAGAACGATCAACGAAGATATATCACGTTTGTCTGACGTCTGTCAAACGCGTAAGGAACATACAGGATGGCTCGCGCAAAGTCTGCGAGGTACTACAAACAATGCCAAATACGGTGGCATGCGCTCGCCACAATCTCAAGTTCCAACACACCCCCTCGAGCGCAAAGCCATCGTGAGAGCAATACATGAGAATGAACCCATACCGTGCACCCCCTCAATCTGACCATGCACCCCCTCAACCAATGAGCCATCCAGATCCCTTGGATTCTGCCCGAAATTCCGTGTGACCCCCAACCGAGTCGAACAATGATGCCTCCAATGAGGACTTCCTGCCTCGAGCAGGGACCGAGGACAATGCATGCGCCAACCAGACGACTTACAGCACTCACAATCCTTCCCGGGCCCCTCTCCTGCCGTCTGCGCCCACCTCGTCGCCTCTGCCAATCCCGCCGACCGCCCGACCTAACATTCACTCCGGCAAGAATCCGCTGTCCCCCCGGCTCACGTCCCGGACTTCTTGACCTAGGTCGCCGACCTCTGACCTGCGCTAGTCCCTCGGCCTCGCTGACCTTCACCTGGCGCATCCCTGGCTCTGGGCTCTGCCGCGCACCTATTCCTGGCCTCCGATTCGTAGCTGTCATCGATCGTGCGCATCGAACTGCGACTTGTGGTGCCTCGCGATGGTGAGGACTTTGAACAGTGCCTGCCAGTCTTCTGCGGGGCTTCGATAATCGAGGATCGTCGTTGATCGCCCAGGGAGTCGCCCTGGTGCGATCGTCGAGAACAGCGCGTTCTCCGCTTCAATGGTCCCGAGACTCTGGCTTTGGTTAGCGGTGGCCAGCCGCGACGCGTTTGTGTTAAAGTTCGTCCGAGACCCGAAGCGAGAACGATCAACGAAGATATATCACGTTTGTCTGAGCTCTGTCAAACATGTAAGGAACATACAGGATGGCTCGCGCAAAGTCTGCGAGGTACTACAAACAATGCCAAATACGGTGGCATGCGCTCGCCACAATCTCAAGTTCCAACATGATGGACCGTGGAGTGCGATTAGGGCACGGTTGCCGATTACAGATGAAGAAAGGGGCTAGGTTTTCATTGCTTTCTGGGTCGTCACAAGAGACGTCGACCTGCTCCTGGGTGTCGAAGGTGTGCTCAAGTCGAGAGCAGTTGAAGAATTCGTCAGCCACGTTGATGGGGGGAGGAAGGGGAGGTGCGCGTGCTACGAAAGGCCGTGCTAGCTAGCTTACACCTACGGCGCCCGAGAAGACACTAGGGTTCGCGATTCACATGGGGCCCAGTACTGCTTTTGGCTAGTATGCAGCAGGAACCTAAGCCACGCGTCCGTGAGGACAAGTATCGCCCACTGAAGTGCAGATACCGAAGAGTTTGTCCCTTAAGTGGTGGCGATGTATTGTAGGCTATCTACGTATCGTAGGGTATAGTAAAAGTGTGCACCACCCGACCTATGGGAGAGGAAAGGTGAGTGTTTTTTTGGAATGCCGGCAGTGTTGGGGAGTTTCAACCTAATGTCACAACTTAGGGTCGAGCGACAGGGGAAAACCAGATGCTGGGGGTGTTCGACTGATCTTACCGAAGCGATGGTGAGCTAGGCTCAAACCTAAGGCTAGGGACAAGTTAGTTAGTTATTGAAAGGTAAGTAAGTACAGGAGCTTACTGACCTAGGGACAAGAGGTCAAAACTGAGGTCCCTAGGGCAGCAGAGGCCGGCTTATATACATGGGGAGATAAGGGCAGGCTGTGCGCGCTGGTCCATGCGCAGCTGGTCCGTGCACAGCATGCCGATGCGGCCCCGGGGGCCAGTGAGTCAGAGCGGCTGTGTCAGCGGAGCCCGAGCTGTGCCGTGCACTGCCATCTGATCTAATCTAATTGTACAGTAGATAAGGACTTGTCCGTTTGAGTGTATAGTACAGAGGTTGTGGGTTCGAGCCCGTGGAAAGGAAAAAATTAAAAAATGGCTAGACACCATACCAACTCGTGACAGATATCTACTCTCGGGATATAGGCTCAAATTCTGGGAATATAGAATCAAACTACAGCTCTGGAAACATAAATAAGGCTCAAATGAAAATTCCCTATGATTCTGCCTTGACAGAACACTATACTAGCAGTCTTGCTGGTCAGGCCACTCGGAACAGTTCCTATTGAATGTGATGCGAGCTGACACAGTGCGGCTGACGAAATGGGGTAGACTTTGAGTTATTTAACTTACTAGTATGGCCTCTCATGTAATTGAACTTAGATTATGATCAATGTCCCATAGGAACACCCGAATGATATTGTATATGAATGCACGAACGCGTATGCTTGCTCTTATGCGCAGCTTTTTGTCTACTATGCAAGAATAGGACTTGGCAAAAACGGCCCTGCTGCCTGCCTGTTATGGTTAGAACCTCTGTCACATGATGCATTCTAACTAAGAAGGAGGTACCCTCATCCTACTTTCGGGGTCCTTTCAATGCGCACGGACGATATGGCAAATTATATTTTCGCCCACCTCTTGGGCACACGTCCCATTTCAATCAGCGCCCTGTAATAGGCCTGTGATCAATCCGCTACCAACTTGAAGTGTCGGGCGTTGCCGATACACGTGACCGACGCGTTAGTGGCTGTCGTCCAACTTGCCCGATACACACGACGCGTGTGCCACACAAGTCTCGTGGTAGAAAACGCCTCTTTCATTTCCGAAAATTGGTTTTGTCCGTGCCCATCCAAGCAGATTTATTCGCTTGTTCTGCTAACACGATCGATCAGCTTGTCGTTCATTAATTTGCCACTTCCATTCTACTCAGGACCGTTTGAAGGCGCGTTGCATGTGTTGACCCATTGTTCTCCTCAGTCATCACTGATGCCTTTGATCCAGCCACATCACTACCCATCAAGCCACCCAGAATACAAGCCCCACCAGCCACGACTCTCTGCTTATAAGAAATGCGGCGAACTACCTCAATCGAAGACCCGCGTTCACTATGGAGCGTAAGCCAGAATCCCCTGTTCATCCACGCATTGCGGAAACTAAGCTGAGCGAAACACCTCTTGCACGAAAGGCCACTAGCACGGATGCATATCTTCAAGGCAACACCAATGCCCGACGCAAGGCTGTCATCGAAGACATTGGCGAGACGATCCCCGAGGTCTCTGTGAAATACTTCTTAGAGGCCCTCGTTCCTCAACTGCGCAGGGGCCTGAGTGTTGACAAGACGATCAAGAAGCTGAAATTGAAAGGAGATATCACTCCTGATGGACATTGGGCACTGTTCTCTGTCAGCCCCGGAAAGGCGGAGCCTGTAGAGGATGTTTACTTTCAGCCACTCGTCGACGTGGCAAAAAGCATCGTCTCCCAAAGTGGCGGTAACGCCAACAGCCAGCTTTTGACGCTGGTTCAACGTCCCCGCGAGAAGCCGATGGCATACGTGAGGTCATCGGAGACCAAGCCTGATGGCTGCTTCGTGTTGAAGAGCAAAACACCTGATGCTGCGCGTCTCCGGTGGCAAGACATGGCACTTTGTGCGGAGTACAAGAAGCAGGACCGGCTGAAGGACAGGGACGACGTGAGTATTGTATGTGTGCATCGTTTCTCACTCATTGAAATGTTGTTCGCTTCGCAGAATGTAGCCAAGGTACTGTGGAGCATGCACCAATGCATGCGTGAGGACGCAAGACATCGGTTTGTCTATGGCATGACGATCGAGAACGAGACGATGCGGTTGTGGTTCTCGAGTCGCGCGGACACCTTCGTGAGTAAGGAGATCAACTGGCGGACAGTAAGTGGACCGTGGTGCACACATGATATATTTCTGACCGAGGATGTTCTAGGATCACGAGACGGTTGTGCACTTCTTTCTAGCCATGATGTATGCCAATGAAGCAGAGGTCGGCTGGGATCCCACAATCGCATATGTCCTCCAGGATGGCGAATTCGTCCCCGGAGAAGACGGCGCTCCACAACTGGAGATTTGTGTTCAAGACGAGAGTGGTAAACCCGACGTGTGGTATCGTACACACAGAGTTCTTGCAGACCACGGTGCGCACGGCGGGCCGGGACGCGGGACGCGTGTGTGGGAAGCATACGAGTTGACAGGGCAGCATGGGGAGAAGCGGGGCAATCCCATTGCTCTGAAAGACTCGTGGATCGACCACGACCGACCAAAAGAAGGGCACACCATGGAAGAGATCCACGCCTCAGTTAAAGAATCCAACCCGGAGGACTATCATTTACTTCAAAAATCCCTCCTCACGGTCTTGCGTCATGGAACCGTTTCCGTGAAGATAGGAAGACGGTGGGAGGTAGATCACACCCGGGACTTGATGAGGCGGGAACTAGACCCTTCGTCTGACTACGGAAGTTTCAAGCTCCGAGAACTGCGTGAGGACGGCATCAGTAGCGAGAACATCGAGAACACGGAATCAAATTTCCCATCGAATGCTGGCACGGGGCACCATCGTTCACATGCACCGCAACAGAGGCCCTCAACTCCGGCGCCTCGTTTGCACCATCCGCGTGTGCACTATCGCATTGTCTTCAAAGAGGTTTGCGTTCGTATATGCGACCTGACGTCACTGGAAGACATATTCCATGTCTTGATCGACGCTCTCATCGGTGAGTAACCTTCGTTCCGTGCACTTGCATTGGTCTCATCCTGAATTGCTGCCCTTGCCAGTCCTGATTGTTATACATGGTGCCGGTTGGGTACATCGTGATATCAGTTCTGGCAACGTGCTCGCAGAACGGCTCCCCGATGGTACAATTAGAGGGAAGGTGAATGATTTCGAATATGCAATGAGGTTTGGCGATACTCAGAGTGAGCCTCATGAGATGCGTACAGTGCGTCTTCAGTATTGCAGTCTGTGGATATTTATGTGACGAGAACTAACGAAATCTGCTTGATTTGTTAGGGCACGGAAGACTTCATGGCGGTTGAAGTGGACGCCATGAGATATTCATTCTTCAACAACCAGCCCGTGGCCACACGGAGCAATGCTAGCAGATTGCCTTTAGGCCAACTCGGGGTTGCGGCCCACCAGGGGCATCGCGGACAAAACCAGACCCCTGCAGATGCGAAGCCAGACCAGCCTGTCTCGAAGCGTCCGGCCTTTCAGTACAACCCTCTGCATGATGTCGAATCTCTCTGGTGGCTGTGCACATACTTTGTGTTCAACAAGGTGATCGTCCTTGTCAACGGCGTGGGGCCGTCGATGGATGCCGGGCTGGAGGGAAGCTATAACAAGCAGCTATCGTATGCATTACAACTGTTCTGGACCCGAGATGGGAGACTACGGGCCATGACAAGACCAGAAGAGTTTCAAAACGAAGTCATTCATCTTCACGCAGTTGTACGGACAGCCGGTTATCTCCTCGACAAGATGAGACACCTATTGCAGGATGAATACAAACACATCGAAGAGACACTCGCTCCCATCACTAAAAAGGTCGCATTCGACACTTCCATGGAGATGGTGTTCGAATTAGGAAACATCGTGGCAAGCGTTGGAGGGCTCACAATCGGCGAATTCAAGGATGATCCGCGACGGGGCTATCTTGCGAACAAGACTGCCAACACTGCCCTCAGCCCGGACCAGATTAGTCCTCCTATGACGAAGACAGAAGGGAAGCGGGCTATGATTGAAGAGGCCTCCAATCTTGATGAATCCGATGACGAAGCGCTGGAGTTGGAACCTATTATGCCACTCTTTCATGAAGAACAAACCACGCGGGATGCAAGCCCTTCTCCCAGACCGTTTTCAACGTTACAGCCGTGGGATCTGAAGGGTGAGATGGAATCTATTATGCCACCCTTCTTTGGAGAAGAAGTAACACGGGATGCGAGCCCTTCTCCCGGACCGTCTTCAGTGCCACAGCCGTCAGGTCTGAAGGGTCGGACAACCTCTAAATTGAAGTCAATGCTGAAGCTTAAGCCGAAGACGAAGGGGAAATGAAGGTGAACGAGGATATTGCGCTTCAACGATGGTTCCTACTGTCACCCCTGGCGACGCTGGATCACTGAATCTATTCTCACTGCTGTCCGATTATTTAAACACATGTATGTCGTATGATCTCATTTCGCGCTTGATGCTAGGATTCTGCCCTCACTCACAACGTCACAGCCATTCGCTAGAGTGTGATCGTTGACGAGGTCTCATTACAGAGTATATGAATAATTCTCCTCCAAGTATTGCTGTATCACTATAGTGTCGGGTATGCATCAGAAACTGAATTTGCGCTTTGTCGCGGTTTGTGTCGTTCCTACGGTGACAGTTGAGTCGCAGTCCTGCCAGCGGACAGTCTGTTGTGTTGGCCGGAACAGTTCAGGACTTTCCAACAAGGGTTGCAACTGTGGCTCGCTCTCCGAAAAGCCAGGGGTTGATTTCGTATTGCCCCACGTCACACGGCTCGGACTATTGCAAGTTGCTGGTTAGTACGAAGACACAAAATGACACAGTTCATCACTAGCCCTACTTTCGGATGAAACGGAGAGTCACGCGAAGGTATGATTGCTGACAATCGCATGCGGGATAATAGGCACCGGAAGGCGGAAGTGTTGAAACCTTGATAGCTAGTGCAGCATCCCGTAACACCTAGGAGACAAACATACCTCATTGGGGAACTGGAAATGTTTCGAGACGTCAGTGCACCACTCACCGCTCACATGGCCAATGGTCATGCATTACCTTCTCGTTGTCGAACGGACACCTGACAATCGATTAGATGCCCTGCGAGCTCGTTGACGGAAACGCAGTCGCGTAGGTACGTCGAGCCAATGTGAACGGCGTTCTTCCGCAGTCTGTGTAGTATTGTCAATATGCAGCGCTATTAACTAACTCTGAGGACTGCGCAAGATCCACAGCCCGTTATTTCTACTGGACGTGCGTTAGAACATAAGTGAGATGTGTCAATGGTAGAAATTATGCGCGCAAGTGTTGGCAGTATAGAAACAGGGGCCATACCTAACCTCACAGTGGTAGCGAAGCACGACTCGACAGCTCGCCTTCATCATAACAGCTTTCCTCCCGGGAATGTGTATTTTGAAGCCGGATCCACACGAGGAAATCCCAGATAGACTTGTTGCATCGTAGATGGCCCTTAGACGAGGCAGAGTGCCATACACGAATGCGTACTGGTATGATACAATGCAACCACAAATGTTGCGCTCCCGTCGCCAGCCGGAGGCGTAAAAGGATACTTGACCTTCATTGGTTTATTGTCTGCGTATCAGTAGCGGATAGAGACGTGAGGTTCAGGGACCCACAATGTCTGTTTCGGCTGGAGAACTTGTTCATATTGGCTTCGCCAAGCACTCAGCCTTCCCTATGCTGCGATTGATTGCACTGTAGAGGCTCATTGTTGCACTGGAGAAGGCTCAGTGCTGTGTCTAGCCTGGCCGAGTCCACCACGATTCAACGTAACATTGCGAACATAAACCTGCGCTGCGTCGGTAACGTTCACCGCGTGAGATAAGACGGCAATGGGTCCCGGCAAGACCCCGGCCATGCTTGTCTAAAGTTCGAGAAGTGTCAAGAAATGGTCAATGTGTAAGGTTAGTCGAATGAAAGCGACTTATATCTATGAGGCAAGATGTGTTTTGTCTGAGAATTTGGTGGGAATCCTTGTAGATCGCCAGTAACCGAGACTTAAATCTCTGTTGTCATCAATCGGAGTTTGAAAAGCTAACTGTGACGACCTACTGGTCACTGTATAACATCCTGTGCATTCATCGAGCTGAGCTCGGTTTACATCTATCCACCATGTCTCGCCGCAGCTATGCTGGTTCAATGCACGAGAGACGTATCTCGAAGTACCGCGTCTCTGATGAGGATCTCATGAGGTGTGTCGTCCTGACAGCATTCTGGTTATTGTCGCTGATATCTGGTCAGCTATGTCCTACGGGTTGCGTGAGTTGCGATAACTTTGAAGACAGATATGTGGGCTGATGGCGCCAAAATGTTCAGTCTACTAAGCTACCAGTTGCAACCCAAGGCTCAGGAGACGCAGGTAGAAGCCGACCCAAAGGACCGTGACTACTCGGCACGGTTGCAGGGTGCCCTTCAAAGCTCGATACTCTCTCTCGGCGACCTGTTCAAGGATCCCAGGGACGGAGGGAAAGGCGTGCGGTTTCCCAAAGATCTGCTCAAGGTCTTGGAGCAGAAGTTACAGGACATTGCTATGGGCAAAGATGCTGCGTGCGTGCCTGTACCCGTCCACTATGACGTCGTCTTGATGTGTCTGCACAGGTATTCCGATCAGCTCACGCGACGGACAATGGCGGTGTTCTACGGTCAAGTGAAGGATGAAAGCTTCCGTCGGCAGATGAAGGAGAACCGCAAGATCGAGGAACTGATCCTCATGTTCGCGACAAATGCGACGAATGTGCTCAAGAAGGAGCCATCGCTCGCGGGCGACGGATGGAAGATCGAGCTCAACAAACATATTGCCTATTTCGTTCGCTTACTCCGGGATTGTCTCCGTCATCTCAGTCATGTATCGCCAGAGCTGACAGCCCGGCTTGATATGTACACGGAGAAGCTAGCACCATCTCAGGCGCCAAGCGACTCCGGGTACGACTCATCATCGACTTCAAGAGATCGCGACTCTATGATCTCCACGAAACGCACGAGTCAGAACCTATCTGATATGCAACTCGTTATGGTTGCAGCTCGTCTTTTCAAAATCCCCGAGTCCGCAGTGCAAAAGGAGGTCGAAGAATTGTCAAGGTTTTGTACAGAGAAGGTATGAGCGTTTAGTGCAAGGAATACCCTGCGTATATTGACTCGTGATGTTAGGCTGCGTTAACAGACCTCAAGGTCAGCATCTATACCAGTGTAAGTCTACATACAGCCCTTCTGACATTCAAGCAGACATGCCTCAAGAATATTAATGCTGGAGCAACCTTTCCTGGCCGGAGAGAAGATTTCTCAAGCGAGGCGGCCTGGCAGTATTGGCGAACGCTTGAAACATCCCACCTATCACAGCTCATGGTAGTCATGGTGCAAGTAAACCCCGAGCTTGCGAAATCTACCGGATCTGAGGGTTCGCCCACGGCTGCGAACGGTCGGCCAGGGTCGATGTACTCGCAGATGTCTTCCCGCCCAGACTCCTTCTATGCCTCCGGTACGTCGCGACACGCATCGATAAGCAGTCGGCATTCGCTCGTGCATACGAATAGTATCACGTCCGACGACTTTGGCACCATCGGGGAGGTTGGTGACGACGACGACATCCCCGTCGGACACCATTTTACATTCATTCCGTTGAATCCGCGGAAATACTACAAGCGTCTGCTCGAGCACTGCCTCGTGGCGGATTTAGAGGCAATGCTGAGCCCAAATGTGGGCGACGACGACGAGGTGTCCCTTGGGATCCTCTCGTCGCCGCACATCGAGCTCATCAACGAATGTGCGCTGCGTTGGCGGATAGGTCAGCCATATCGTGTTGCGTGCTTCCTCGATCTCGTCAGGCAGTTCTTTGAACGCAACGAAGTCCCCTTGGAGTGCATTCCGGAAGCCCTGCAGAACATTCAGAAAGTACTCCATGAGCTCGAACTGGACAAATGGCCGATTCAAGACGTGGGTCTAGTTCTGAAACTTATCTGTCATCAGCTAACGTGGGGAAATCCAGCGTGATTACCTCGCGCAAATATATGGCGGTCTCTTTAGTATATTCCTCTCGTTGCTCTATCACGCCATGGAGTCGGTGCCCAACCTCAAGCCGTCAGAGATAGCCCCTTACGTGCATATCTTGGAGACGGTGCAAGAGAGCGGGCTACTTGAGCAGTATGATGTCGATGTCACTGCCCGCATGAATGACGTTCAAGAACAGGTGCGATCAGTGTCCGTTCGGTATTACGAGCAGAAGAGTCGCGAGTTGCGTGAAGCTCCGGGAGTGAACAAGGCGCTGCCTCACTTACTCATGACCGACGAGATCGAGAAGGTAGCTAAACTGCTAGACAAACGGTTCCCAGAGCCTATCCTTGGGTACGTAAATGCTCCCTAGTCTTCGTAGATCTGATGAGCTGAGCGACACCTAGTCAACTGGATATTGTGTCGTTGGTGCTAGAGGTGCAAATACCGCACTATATTACGGATCTTGACGATTCTCGGAAACATCTCTTCGAGGATTCAATGAATGGACCTACGCCAGATGTCCCTATCCAGGACATCTTCGCACTTTATCGACGCACGAAGATACTGCTAGGAATGTATAAGGCGTTCTGTCCGAAGTCCGTCAATGGCAACCTCTCACAGATTTCAGGCGACTAACAGAACTGTAGCGGGGAGATATCCTTCGATCTGGCCGGATTCTTTGAACCGTATGTGCGCCAATGGCTTGTCAACACAGATAGCAAGACCACGCAATGGGTGCAAGCTGTAAGGTGCTTCTCCTTCTCGGTGATATGCGGCTGACAACTTGGATAGGCCATAGCTGCGGATAAGGTTTGTCTCCTGCATTCAGCGTCTAATCATAGCACTCAAGTACGAGGCAGTTTCAACCCGAGGGCAGCGAAGGTCACAGTTCTTCTATTATCGATCTATTCGACTCTCTACGAAGTCCGATAACCTTCCTTGAGGGTCTTGAATGGGACGACAATTACCAGGAGGCACGTTTCTTCACCAGTTTGTCCAGGGTGCGTATAGCTGTTGTCTCCTGGCTTTTCCGTGAGCTTGACCTGTTTTCGCAGACAATCAGCAAAGCTGTGGAACAGTACTGCCGCAGTGTTGAGGAATTATTCATGGCGGAGATGTTTCCTCGCCCGACCGACTACTTGCAACCTCAGAAGTCATCAGCGTGGCTTGAGAAGGCCAAGCAGCTCACGACTGCCGGCGAGAAGAAGATCGAGCCCTTCACGTTCCAACCAGAATCTTGTGTGAAGCTCAACAATGTGGAGGCTGCGCGAAGACTCCTGGACAACATGTATACGCAGATGGAGGCCGACAAAAAGATGGAAGTTCTGCTGAATGCGCCGCCTGTGCCAGAGAAGACTGAGCACACAGATCGTTTCCTCTTTACCGTCAAGATTGTCATCGCCGAGGGGCTTGTTCCGTTGGATAGCAGCCCGTCGTCAAAACTAGACACGTTTGTGACCCTCAGCGACGAGCAAGGAAATCGCCTAGCGAAGACGCGGACGATCTATGAGACACTTAACCCTCGGTGTGCGTACAGTTGTCTGGGTGGGAGTAGCGTCGGGCCTAACGGTTATATATCACACAGGGGACGAGACGTTCGATATGACTGTCGAGAAACCGCTATGGTTGATGGTCAGTGTTCGTGACCGTGCCCTCATCGGCAAACATGATACCGTCGGCCGAGCGTACATTTGTCTCGATCCACGGCGGTATGGTGACTTCCTCACACATGATCAGTGGATGGACCTCGACACGCAAGGCCGAATACTCATTCGGATCAGCATGGAGGGAGAGAAGGACGATCTCCAATTCTTCTTCGGTCGCGCCTTCCGGTCATTAAAGCGAGCCGAGAGCGACATGGTCCGCGTCTTCATTGACAAGGTCAGTCGGCGGTTCTCGGACATCGGGTCACGATGCTGATCGGACGGCATTAGGTTTCTCCCTTCATTCGACAATGCCTCTCACGTACGGTGCTCAAGACGCTGATCAAGTCCAGTTCGGGAAGCATCGACTACAACAGAGCGCTGGGCAACGTCACTGCGCTCTTCGGGCAGGCCCTGGGTACTGACAAGTCCGAAGTCCAGATCCCGCTGCCACAGTCCGAAAAGCCCCGCATCCGACCGGAAGCACTGTCGGACGTCGAGATCGAGCAAGCGATCGTTCCGCTTTTCGATTATCTTGATGCCATCCTCCCGACGTTCAATACATATCTCAGTGACTCCACAAAGGAGATGGTAATGACACGAGTGTGGAAGGAGATCCTGAATGTCATCGAGGGGCTGCTCATCCCGCCACTCTCTGATATCGCGAGCGACATGAAGCCGCTGAGCGACAAGGAGGTGGACATTGTCTTCAAGTGGCTGAAGGTAGGCGTGGGTCCCTCTGCACGCGATCACTCGGTGACTAACTGTGCACTCAGTTTTTGCGGGACTACTTTTACGCGGGCGGCGAGGGGCCTGTACCACAGGAGTCGCTCCAGAACCAGAAGTACCGCGATGTGCTGTCTATCCGGCTGTACTATGACTGGCATACGTGCGTTCCATTATTCCCCGCGCCCGGTCGATCACTTAAAGCTGGGATTTCTAGTGACGCGCTGATGGAGGAGTGTGTGCGCATGATGCAGCAGAGCCTGCGCGCCTCGCCGGCGGTGAAGAAGCGCGCGAAGAGCGTGTACCAGCAGCGCAACCTCGGCACGATCAAGAACCGCAAGAAGGAGAAGCAGCAGGACAAGGAGGTCAACAACGGGGAGACGATCCTGCGCATTCTGCGCATGCGGTGCGTGGCCTTGCTCTTGCTGTATGTGTGTGTGTGCGCGTGCGGCGCGGGCTCACCCTGCGCGTCCCCGTCCCAGGCCGAACACGTCGGACTTCATTGCGCAGCAGCTGCACGCCATGACGAGCATGCAGGCGGAACGGGAGGCGCGCGAGCAGGACCTGCAGCGGCGGAAGCTGCAGCGCCCGCGGCAGGCGCAGCAATCGGTGTCCGCGATACCGCCCGTGCCCCCTCTGCCACCGAAGACCGCGGCGTAGACGATCGTTGTTATGGGACCGCTGAACACTATTTGGGACAGATACCTTGCATAGCATACCACCGCCCCTCTTCTGCTGTTAATAGTGCCATGTTTTCCTTGATGCCGCTGTGGTTTTTCTGTACGGGACCGGCTGTTCGTTGTTCGTTGTTCGTTTGTGCTCATAGTGGACCGGCGACTGGCGGATAAGTAATGAATAGATATTGTGTGCTCTCGAACGGCGAGCAAGAGCAAGAGCAAACTGAGCGGACCAGGTGCGGGGAGTGGTAAGATTAGGCGAAGACGGTGCGTACATCAAAGCGGGCATCTACGTGGTATGCGGTGGTCGATAGCACTAATGGTACACAGTAGACTAGAGCGGGCGCAAACGTAACGTACAGTGATACAGTCGTACAGCAGCGTCCGTGCGAGGCGCTACGACGGATGTAGGGCGGTGCGCGGTATACAGGGCGACCCGATGCCATCATCCAGGATCTGGGAGCGCCGGTATTTGAGCAGTATCGAGGGCTTGGCTGCCGGCGACACGCATGCGGCGGACATAGAGGGGGTCTGCGGCGCAGCTGATGGGGGCGATATGCCTAGAGACCGAGCGCGGTCTCGTCTTCCTCGGAGATGGACGATAGGGACGAGTGCCGTGAGCGCGGGTTGCGCGCCGGGCGTGGGCGCTGGACGGGCTGCGGCGGGGGGTAGGGCGAGGACGGCGGGGTATGTGTATGTGTGGGGACGGGGGTATCGTCGCGGCAGGTCGCGGCCGACCGGGGGGTCGCCGTGTAGATGACGTAGGGCTCCTCGGGCGAGGGCGGCTCGCAGGGGGTATAGTTATGCGCGCAAGCGTATTCGTCGTCGGCGTCGGCGGCGGCGAGGATGTCGATCCACGAATGCGATAGATGCGCGAATTGCTGGTGGGGGTGTCGGTCAGTTGGGCGCAGACTCGCAGACATGGAAGAGGCGGGCGCGGTACCTTTGCCTCCGGGCTCGCGGAGTGTGCGATCCATTCTGAGATCCGCCGCGTCCATTCTTTGCGCCGCAGGAACTCGACGCGTTCGCGCCTCTGCGCCGTGCTCTCCACGAATTTTTCCTGCCGCGGCCGCGATACGTACAGGGGTGTTTGGGTGGCGTCGAGGGTGCTCGACGGGTCCGGCCATGAGTACATGGCGTAATACGGATCGGCGCGGGGGAGAGCGTCGGCTGACTGAGTCGTCGGAATGTAGGGAGCGTAGGAGGAATAGGAGGCCATGCGAACAATGAATACGAACAAGCAAGGATGGGGAGGCAGACAGACGAAAGGGGCGGGCACGTATATATAGCCAGGAACCCGATGGGAGCGCTGCGCGCACGGCTCGGGGGATGCAGCTTTATAGGAGCGCAGGCAATTTGAATCGGATGATGTATGAGTCAGAAGTCTGTGTGTAGGTGACGGCATCGGACGCACCGCACGCCCAACGCGCGGGCGGCTGACGCGGGCCTCGCCCAGGACGCGGGTGGGTGCTGGGCCAGATTCATCACCCAATCGCCGCGCAAGCCTGGCTGATGCCGCGCACACGGATGCTCCTGTCTGGGAGCGGCAGCGGTGCGCGTCCGCCGGGAGGCTCTACTGCCGCGCTGACCAATCAGGGCCGCGCATCCCTCCGCGCCTGCCCGCGTCTCTCCGGCTTGCCTGGGAACCGAACCGCCTCGAACCGCAGGCGCCGCCCCGGCGTCGCGTCATAGCACTGTCGATGAGGCGTATGTCTGGCTGCACCAGCGACATACGGCTCACCTCGTTTCCTTGAAACATGCGCGTCGCCCTGCAGGGACGCCAGCCCTAGCGGGGACCACGCACTGGGGCGGCGTCCGCGCCGAGCGTGATGCATCGCCGCTTCTGTCCACATTTGGCCGCCGGCGTGCGATGCTCCCCTTCGCAACCCGACGTCGAAACAGCGTCAGCGGCCAAAATGACCACGCCGCCCTGTTGGGTCCATAATCAGCATGACGGCCCTACGCGACGGCGGCACACAAGGCCCGCACACCTGTACGCTCCTTGCCGATAGCGATGCAGGATCACGCTCGACGCACTATATCTTGCACGTGCAGCACGGAGATACACTGCTTCAGCGCTCGCGCGCCGTCCTGGGTCCGCGCATCCTTGCTGGCTGACGTCCTGTCCTCCTATCCGGCGTATCCCCAAAAGCTTAGATCACCTGTGGAAACGCCGTCAACGTAACAGCTTACGCTTCACGACGGGACCAATTCCGGGTGTCTTGGCATGTCCACGATGTCGACAAAGAGGCGTCGTCAGTGTCGGCTCCGTGGATCGTTGGCAGCTCTCCCGCAGCTCCTGGGCGGCGGTCGCGAAATGATCGGGGTAGTATAATGCGAGACGTGATGCATGATGCACGATGGGCGGTCTCTAATTCTAATCGGGAAAGTGCGAGGTCGTCCCCAGGGCGTTTGACGCGGTCACGCGACTCGTGTCCACTGCAGCTTGCGGCCTCTCATTCTGTGCTCCTCGCGTTCGCTTCGTGTTCGAGTTCAAGTCGCCACAAATCCCCCTTCTGACCTCCAATTCTTCAGCCTTTGCTCTTATACATATGGCTACTCCCAGAGCCTTGGCGATTCCCGAGCTCATTTCTCTCGTCTTCGCACAATTCATCGTGCCTACTGCTGCCCCATACCTCATACACTACCATGCGCATCCTTTCAGGAACCTCCCATCCGAGAAGGGCACCACACAGAAGCGATCAGGCAATGTATCGGACGACGACGTAGAGATGCTGCAGCCGCAATTCGCAAGAGACGAGAGATGAAGGACCGCATGCAGAAAACCGCATTCCGCATTCGTCAGTCCACGTTACGTTGTCTCGAATCTGGTCCCTATTCCATCGTAAGACCCCTTTCATCCAAGTGGTGATCGAGGGCTCCGGCTGCACAGCGACAGCCAGGGGAGATATCGTTAATCAGTGGAATGCATGACCCCATCTGTCCTGCGAACATTCACTAAAACTAAGGGACGACTGCCCGGCCTTCTGCGGCCATGTTTCCCTGTTCGACTTGTCATGATTGCAAGAGCGGTCTCAGCCTCGGGTGGATGCAGCACCGCGCTTACTGTATCGCATGCGAGTCGGCGGTAAAAAAGAATATAACGAATAGGTTTTGTGAGATAGCATATTAGCACGGCCACGAAACGAAGAGCGCAGCTGGTCGGGACGTGGCACAGCCCGTACATTAGTCGAGGATATGCTGCACTACAGAACGTGTGTGGCAGACAAGCGTAGCGTAAGTACCGTGGGCAGGAGTAATCCTTGTTGAGTCCTCGGTCGTGAAGACGTGACACTGAGACATTACTATGATACCAATCGAGTCGAGCGAGCAAGGGGCGCCGTCCGTCCGCCCTAGCCATTCCCCCAAAATAGAGCAAGCCAATATACCTATGCGAAGAAAGAAACCCACCACCCCGACCGCGCCATCTGCCACGGCGCACGACTGCATTCATCCCCGGAGCATCCATCGATCGCCCTTCCTGCGTTCCCGTCCGACACCGCCAAAGCCCTCCCGCACGACAAGCCACAGAGCCGTGCACGACACCACATCCTTGATCTCCTCCGCCGTTAGCATCACGCTCGCCGGGCGCCCGGCCTCCACCCGCCCACTCTCCTTCCCGCCGCCGCCCCCGCCCCAGAACTTGCTGGACTTCCCGCTGCCGCCCGAGGGCGCCGCGGGTGGCAGGGGCGACACCGCAGGCCGCGCGATGCCTTGCGGCGTGACGACGCGTCTGTGCACCGCGACGCGCTCTATCTCCACATCAGGCAGCGGAAACGCCACCTTGAGCAGCGCAACCACCTTCGGGTGATGCGGCGTGGGAACCACTGCCGCGACCTTGACGCGGATGCTCTGTGGCGGCTGCTGTTGCGGCGGGGCGCCGGCGCCGAGGTGCTGTGGCGAGCGCGCGGGCGGGGGCGCGTGCAGGCGCCGCACGACGAGCGTGCACGTCCATGGAGTCTCAGAGTCCTCGGGATCGGACTCGTCCCCGTCGTCCTCTTCCCGTTCTCTCCGCGCCGCGCGGCCGCTCTCGTCAGTCGACTCGCCGGTGACGATGCTGGCGGGTCCGGGCGAGATGGAGCGCGCAGAGTCGACCGAGCGCCGTGGGGCGTTCCCCGGCGAAAGCGTGCGCTGGGACTGCGATTGTGGCTGCCGGACCGGCGACTGTGTGGATGGGTGATGCAGGGATGCCGTCGACGGTGTGGCCGAGGACCCTACGAGACTCGCTCGATTGCGCCTCCGGGTGCTCTCCCTCCGCACATGCTCCCCCTCCCGCCCGCGTTTCTGCGTGCTCCCCCCACGGCTCCACTCAAAGCGCACCTCGACAACACCCTCCAGACCCGCCGCCGCGTTCCCGTTCCGCGCCTCCTGCAGCCGGTCCTTCACGTCCCTGAACATGCTCTCCGGCTCGCCCTTCAGCCACTTGCGCACGATCCACACATACTTCGTCGGGCGGCCCTTTGGCGGGACCGTCGGGGAGCGCAGCGACGGCTGGATACCCAGTACCGGTGGCTGCAACGGCGGCTCGGACACGCTGGCCGAGAGGACGTGCCCGTGTGCCGACAGGAGCGACGTGCGCTTCGAGCGCGTCGAGTCCATCGACGGCATGACGCTCTGGTTGAGCGGCAGCGGAGACGGCGGGGGCGTCCCCACATCACCCTCCTTGCGCTTGAAGAGCTTCCCGAAAATCTTGCGCGAGCCCGAACGCGCACTGGACGTGGTCGGTGTAGCCGGCGGCGACACAACGCGGGCGAGCGGCGTGGTGCTCGGCTCGTGCGCGAACTCATACGTGTTCAGCGAGACCGCAGACGACGTTGGCGTGTGCGCGGGCTCGCCGCGCCCGTAGTCGATGCTCACCCGGCGCCCCGTTTCGTCGACGCCCACCGCTCCACTGCCCCACACCTCGACCGGCTCAAACACCGCGAGGCCGATGACCTCGAGCCCACGCTTAAGAAACTTGGCGACTTTCGCGTCAGTGCCGGCGTCGACGATCACGTTCTGCATCACGTTGTGTGCCTGCAGATTGTACAGCGGGATGATCATGCGCCGCCCGGACGATGTCGTCGACGATGAGCCGACGGTCGATATCGAACCTGCGGACGAGTAGCTGGAATACAGCGACGCATCCGAGCGATTGGAGGGTGTCCGCGAGAGGGACTGGGCATCAATCTCTGCTGACGAGTCCGTCGACTGACGGCTGCTCGGCCGTTCTTTCGAATTCGGCGGAACAAGTTGCACCTGGAGGTTCAGCGGATGGTTCGTCTTGGATGGCGGTGGTCGCACAACAATGAACGACTGCAAGTGGTCAGATCAGCATCACTTGTCATCAGATATTAGATCCGTGTGTCACTCTCAAGGAGAAAGAAATGCATGATGATGCACGATGACCGCATCTCCCTTATAAACGGGCGCCGCATCGAGCAATGCACGGGACCACTCGGCCCCGCATCCGTCACGGGGCTCCCATAGCGCGCTTCTCAACCACATTGTCAAAGCTTGAGTCTAAAGTTGGCCCCAGACTCCCAGGGGTGCGGAGAAGAGAAGCTCGAACGCGGTGCCGCAGGCGCCATGGCAGCACGCTTCCCATGGATGGCTGCGCACCGCACTACGGCACACGACGTCATGCATCGATCCCATGCACTACGTCTCGTAACACTCAGGGACAGTATCGTCAATGTGGACGAGAGGATGCGATTCGGCAGCGCGGCCTGAATTAGAATGTCAAATCCCAGGATGATCGTGGGTTAAACATGGTTTGATGTCCCCAGCCATTTCCAATTTGGCCCAAAGGGTGTGCGCTTCGAGAAGCTATGAGATACGCGTCCTGTGCGGGTCCAGCTGTGTCTCTGGCAGACAATGCAAAGACACATGGATGAGCATAGCAGCCCCGCCCTGCTTACTTGCAGGAGCGATAGGGTGCTCATCAACGCCAAACCCACAGACGATGATACGTATGAGCTCTATGATCGGTCGTGCTGGGATAGCCCGCACCAGTTTGCATGCGCCAACAATGGGGTCCTGGGGGTGTGACGCCCATAGGCAGGCCATGATGATCAGCTGGGGAACCGAACGAGACGGAGAACGAAGGCGCGCCGCAAGCAGAGCAGGACGCACGGCGGTCTGGCTCCGGCACATCACTTTGCGAGCTTGCGTGTTACTAGCAAGCAGCACGTCGGGAGGGCAGCGCCCACACCGGCAGACCGCAATTGGTCGGCAAAGTTCGCGTAGTAGCAGTGCTTCCGAGCCATGGCGCTCGTGTGAGATGGGTGCCCTGACGAGCTGACCAGGCGCATAGGAGAGACAAGCCCTACATGTCAGTCTGCAGGCCTCCTGTGCGGCGCGGCCTGGCGGCTTTAGACATCGTCTGCGGCTTGGCATGCGGACACTACCGAGATGCCGACTTGAGTCGTCAACCTGGTGCCCCGCCCTGCTGTTGCTCGAGTACACACACAGCGGTTTCATCAGCCAGCAGAGTCCAATGATACAGGACCTGGAATATGCCACTCACTTCGTTCGTCCGCTCTTTCTTCTTCTTCACAGGCTGCTCCTCAACTGGGCGCATGTCGCTCGGTGGCGGCTGTCTCGGCAGCGCTGGAGCGACCTCTGTCGTCGGCGCAGGCTTATCCGAGCCGAACTGCTGGATGGTGGATGGTAGGAAGGAGGAGAGGGTCTGAAACATGGGCGGCGGCGTGAATGAGTAGGAAAGGGACTGGGAGGGACATTGATCAGGTTAAGAGCGAATTGAGCAATTGGCGGGGGGTGTCATCTACCCAATCCGGCCGCGTTTCCCACTCCGCGAGCGTGGGCGGCAAGCGCCGATCCATTTATGCGGTGCAACCTCCGCAAGCGATCGCGTATCTCGGTCCCTTCATCTTCGTACTGCGAACTCCGCAGGCCTACTACTGTTCACATTGTCCCTGACGCTGTCCTTTCTGTTCTCGAGACTCGCAAGTTGGCCCTTCTATTCGTGCATCGACGCACGGGGCGCTGTGTAAATGGCGCTGTCTCATCCGCTCTTGACGGAGTTGTAACGGGCGCGCTTTACTCATCGACATTACCCATCGATGACGAAAATGTAATCACATGTGTGTACACTCGGGACCACGGCCCTTCGACTCTCAGCATCAGCACGAACAAATTTAAATTATATCTACATGTTGACCGACACGTATAGTCCATGTCTCTTGCTAGCCGGTGAACTCGAGCAGCCGATCGATCCAGCACGGGCTATGAATTTGACGCAGCAATCGACGTCGTGACGTGACTCCGGTGGAACTGCAGCGCAGTCCGTCTAGAATTGCGGGTTGGACTGCGCTCAGCCGTCAAGAACGAGACAACTGCGGCACGTTCCGTTCAAGGCACACTGACTCTGATTCTAATGGTGACCATCAGACTGACGAGAAGTGTCCCGGTTTCACTTGACTGCACAGCTCCCTCGCACCTTGCCATTCGCTCTAGGATACAGACCTGTACCAAGTAATGTACCAGTCTACATCACTGTGTGACTCGATCCGCTGGCACAGCCTCCGGCGCCCACACGTCCGATCATCACAGGGCCTCGGTATACCACAATCCCATGTCTACCACCTTCGGCCTTCGCAAATCTCGTGGGCCCATCACCACGCTGCCGTCAACAAGCATCGAGTGTGCCTGCACCATTCATGCTGCGCCGCTGCAGTGCAGCAGCAGCGGATGGCATTGCGAGGCGGCCGAACGTGGATTCCGCTGCGTAGACTGTCAAGGAATCACGGACAACGAAACGTGTCTCTAGCCATAGCCTGCTTTATCCTCACAGTATCATAGGCCTGCCGTTCCGCAGCCCACGAACTATTCGGACACATAGGGAGCGCATTGACCTGTTAGCACCGCAGCTTTGGGACATGCGCCACCAGAGAAAATGTACATTTCTCTGACATCCTGATCACGCTTTTGCGCTGCGGATGGCCTGGCCTGGTTGTTGTATGGCTCCATCCAACACGATTGCGCTATCACCATCATGCATATACTGAAGGTCCGCGATATGCTTTCTCATCGACTCCGAATTCCCCGACGAGAGGACGAGACATCTGGGCTCAGTGGGTCATTCACTTGCAGGTGAGTCGCCCAAGCCGCATGTCAATGAACGCTTACGCTCGGACAAAATCGGTGCACTTCATAGCGCAGTGGGATAGTATATATATATGGGGACCACTAATAGCAGCCATAAGATATTCGGAGGCAACGAGATCCAAGTAATAAAATAGCACAACCAGCAGCGTCCAGAATTACAGATAGTGTCCAGAATAGATGACAAGCAGCAGAGTGACGAAGCATGACATGAAGTGTGTGAAACATCCAAAGTCCCGATGCCAAGCCGCAGATTGGAACAGAATGGCCATACGGAAGCCCTGAGGCTGCGCCTACTTCGTATTTCTCTTCGTCTTCGTCTTGGCCTTCGTGCTAGACCTTGTCGTCGCCTTGGTGTTAGACGTAGTCCGTGAGGTTGATTGGCCCGTCGCAGCCTGTGTTGCGGTAGTCAGAGTTGATGACGATGACGCGGTCTTGCGCGTCGTGCCCTTCTGCACATTGGACTGTGACCCATATCGGACGGGAGGAGCACGCTTGCGCTGCGGACGAGTAGAGCGTCCTTCGACAAGGGGCTCTGTCGAGATTTGAGGGACAGATGAGTAGCTTTGTCAACGGATCGTCCAGCGTCAGGGTCTTCGACAACTACGTCGTTCGCACCATCCTTGGCAGTTGCCTCTTCAGTCATGTCTCCGACGCTCACCTCTCGAGTTAGAGCTGCGAGGGCGGATCCCTGGTCACCTCCGTCTGAATTTTCTTCTGTATCGTCATTAGCGGGACCATTGCCGTCGGTAACGCTGTTTTGACCGTCGGCAGACGGGATCTCGAACGGGTCCTCGACATGTTGACGTGGATCATTGCGTAGAATGTCGGTCTGAATGTCCTTTTCCTGGAGCTTGCTAATAATCTTTCCAAATAATGTTATGAAGACGTTATAGAGGAGGTCGTGGCCGACTGTGTGATCGATTGCGCCTAGATCCTGCTCAGCCTCTAAATAACAGCTGACTAGTTGCTCCCTGATCTCGTTGAGCTTGATAGCGATCCCCCGTATGGCAGTGTGTAAATAGACCATTTGCTTCTTCAGGTCAGTCTCGTACCGTAACGCCATAAATCTTGCGTGCGACGATCTGGCCAAAAACTCGGTGTACATTTTCTGACTGAAGTAGTGTCCCCGCTGCGACGCGTCCATGGATGGGGGTTCGCCACCGACCTTGACCACCGATGTGTTCAAGACGAAGTATATTGCCACCCACCAAAGGGATTCAATATCATGAAGGGGGTTGTACCGGAAGGGCACGGTGCGGCCTTTCACGGTGCGGCCTTTTTTGCGGACAGGCATATCGTTGTTTTCAGGTTTGCCAAGTTGTATGGATTTAATCCGGTCTAGGATCGCTACTTTGGGAGGTGGCTTGGGCTGTGCTCCCTGTGATTCTGGCAGGAATCTGTACTCAAGGTCGTAGACTTCGACTGACATGAAGGATCTAGTGCCCTGTTCGCAGGCGACGATAATTAGTAATGAAGACTGTGGACCTCATCTGATACTCACAGTCCGGATTTCGTGGCCCATACTATCACCCAGCATCGTGGCATATTCGAGATCTGACAGCTTGCAACACAGCACTCCATTGAGAACGAAACCCAGGAGGTTGCCTATGCTCATGTCACGATGCACCCATCCAACATCATGCAAGGCTATCAGTGCTGTAAAATCCAATAGTGGGTTCCTGAACCAAGTGCGACAGCATATCACGGACTCACCACCTGCAGCATTGATGAGGATATAAAAAATATCCTTAAGCGAAGTGTATTCGCGAAGCGGCTTGCATACCTCTTTGAACACGATACGGTAATGGACCTTTGGATGGTACGTCTCGATCTTCTGCGCAGAGGCGGTCCTTAGCTCATTTGGAGTCTGGTAGTTGCCCACGCCTGCCTGTGTTCGTTTTCTTAGCTTGGTTGTAGTGGTCTCTTTAACCCCATCCTCCGGAATCTGTTGGAATTTGAAGCCAATATGCAAGGGCGGTACACCATCGCGCGTCATGAGACTGTGGGTATGATCGTGCATGCCCTCCACGTAGACATCTCCGTGACGTTCCACAGTGAGTAGCGATCGGTCGATAATGTCTCTTGTCGACTTCTTTGTTTTCGCATTCCGAAGCTGCTCGATGATCATGCCTTCTCGTTGTCGATCGGCATCGATCCACTGGTCTTTGAGAGCAAAGCGATCGACACCTTCCTCGCCGTCGTCACTTAGTATACACACCTCCCAGACACGCGTACCCCTGCTTCGCAGATCATTTGCGCCATCGTCTGATAACCATCTTATCGTCCGATATCGTACGACTGTTCCATTCTGATCTCGGACATCGATGTCGAGCCGGGGTTTATCTTCTTTGTCCAGTTCAAGCTCGTCGTTCTTCCCGTTCTTCTTGCGCACGTATTGCATTGTGGGATCCCATCCCGCCTCATGTTCAGCCGCATACATCATCGCGACGAAGAAATGAACCACTTCATGATGTGCCTAAATGCTTCACAGTGAGAACGGGACACAAAGCGTAGAATGGGACACCACTCACTGAAATGAAATCAATTGGCTTGCTCACAAACAACTCTGTGCGGCTGCAGAACCACATCCGCATCGTCCTATTTTCAATTGTGAGCCCATAGGTGAACCGACGTCTCGCATCCTCTCGCATGCAGTGATGCATGCTCCAGATAACCTTTCGAACATCCTGCCACAGCCATCAGTCAAGTAGTAAGTCGTGAATAGAGATGTGCTTACATCATCTTGAGTTTTAGCGTTCTCCACCTTCTTGAATTGAGCGGAAAGCGCAATGTCCATCCATCGGAACCTACCCCGAGGCCCTGACTTGCGGATGAAACATCCATCTGGGCGACTTTTCGACATCCTCGTCTTGGACTTTGGCGCGTTGGTTGGGTTCTGGGCAAACTCGAATAGCTGTTTCTTGCGTGACATCGTGCTTGCGACCTTTGCGATAGCTGTTGCCACATCTGTGAGAGGTTTGAAGCAGCTGTCCTCGCACTGGGAGGAATTTTTGGGATCCTCTGGAAATTTCGCACAATGATTTCCTTTGATGTGATCACCTTCGCGGAGCTCCCTGACTACCTGGTCAATGTCGACACCTGCAGGAAGCGGAGGAAGGAAATGTGTCTGAAAGAAGTCAATCTCGACCTCCGGTATGGTCCTTCCAAGCTCTTGCATCATAGCTCTGCGAGCTGCAGCGGGATTGTATTTCATGCGAGATGCGCTTTGAGTCGCCTTGATGCGGACCGGCGTTTCACCCAGATTAGAAGACGAGTTGGCCTTGCAAGCATCAGGGGATGGAAACGATGCATCCTGCTGCATTTTATATGTCCAGGAGATGTGATCAGGATGGTCACCTTCGACTCTGTGTTTAATTTCCGTGAGCTGCGAAACACGCGGAGAGGAGCCGTCAGCGATGTGGCTGGAAGGACAAAGGAAGAGTGGGCTCTACACACAAGTGAGGAATGTGGTTGGTCCCGCCTTGGAAGAGTCAATGCTTGAATGCTGTGAAGTTTGTTAGTCGGCCGGTGCTTGCACCTGTCGATCGTGCCTTCATTCAAGCGCGTGGTTACTGGCTGAATTAAGGTGGCTCAATAGGCTCAAATCACAGACGCGTGTTTATTTGAATAGTAAGATAGTGGCTGCGACAGCAAGGTCAGATGAATGCAGGCAGGTGGCACAGATCCTAGATGACCTCCGGCGCCCGCGTGCGGCAGCCACAGACACGTTCATCACGTGTGAGGTTCGCACAAGTCACACGCCACACTTCCACCGCCGGAAACGGCCCACAGACATGTAACAGTGCACCAGTCTACATTCACCCCGAGCCCACTGTGTAAGCGGGGCTCCAGCGACGTACACAGCCTCCAGCGCCCACATGTCCAATCATCACGCGTCCGCCATTGTCGGCCTTCACATCTCTCGTGGGTCCATCACCATATAACCGATAATGGCAAGCATTGACTGTGCCTGCATTGTTCTGTGAGACCGATGCCAGAAAGACCACTGGCAGACAATGTCCTCGATGGACAGGGATCAATTCAATCTAAGAATAGGGGGATGACGGTGTCTGTGTGGCGTGGGATCTAGCATGACATCCACCTGGCTGCCACCATGGCCACGTGCATGAGCATGTAAGTGCTGCTGTATTGGTGCCCTGCCTTTTTAGGATGGGCGTGTAGCACTGGTGTGCTTGCGTGCAGCACCTCTGCTTTGGGCTCCGCGCAACAAGAGTGTCATGAGTTGGCACGGTGTCTAGCTGTTTTTTAATTTTTTCTTTTCATGGGCTCGAACCCGCGACCTCTGTACTACATACCCGATATGGACACATCACTATCTACTGTATGATTAGATTAGATGGGCGGCAGTGCGCGGCACAGCTTGGGCTCCGCTGACACAGCCTCTCTGACTCACCGGCCCCCAGGGCTGCATCAGCATGCTGCGCATGGACCAGCTGTGCATGGACCAGTGCACACAGCCTCCCCTAAACTTCCCCTGTATATAAGCCGGCCTCTGCTGCCCTAGGGACCTGTCGCGACTTGGGGTCAAGCAACTGAGGAAACCTAAAAGCTGGGGGCATCCGACTTATTCTCACCGAAGCGATGGTGAGCTTACTGTCACGAGTTGGCACGGCGTCTAGGCGTCTAGCCGTTTTTTAATTTTTTCCTTTTCGCGGGCTCGAACCCGCGACCTCTGTACTACCTGCCTGATATGGACACATCATATCTACTGTACAATTAGATTAGATGGGCGGCAGTGCGTGGCTGTAAGGATTTACATGCATGCACCGGTCTCACATCATAACCTCTACACCAAAAGGGTGCAATGTCAAGCTTGGCTTGACATCTGACCGGAGGTATATATGCTGATCATATGCCAACTCATGACAGCGGCACAGCTTGGGCTCCGATGACACAGCCTCTCTGACTCACTGGCCCCTGGGGCCGCGTCAGCATGCTGCACACGGACCAGCTGCGCATGGACCAGTGCGCACAGCCTGCCCTTATCTCCCCATGTATATAAAGCCGGCCTCTGCTGCCCTAGGGACCTCAGTTTCAACCTCTTGTCCCTAGCCTTAGGTTTGAGCCTAGCTCACCATTGCTTCGGTAAGATCAGTCAAACGCCCCCAGCATTTGGTTTTCCCCTGTCGCTCGACCCTAAGTCGCGACATTAGGTCGAAACTCCCCAACGCTGCCGGCACTCCAAAACAAAAACACTCACTTTCCCTCTCCCATAGATCGGGTGGTGCGCACCTTTACTATACCCTACGATACGTAGATAGCCTACAATACATCGCCACCACTTAAGGGACGAACTCTTCGGTATCTGCACTTCAGTGGGCAATACTTGTCCTCACGGACGCGTGGCTTAGGTTCCTGCTGCATACTAGCCAAAAGCAGTACTGGGCCCCACGTGAACTGCGAACCTTAGTGTCTTCTCGGGCGCCGTAGGTGTAAGCTAGCTAGCACGGCCTTTCGTAGCACGCGCACCTCCCCTTCCTCCCCCCATCACCATGGCTGACGAATTCTTCGACTGCTCTCGACTTGAGCATGCCTTTGACACCCAGGAGCAGGTCGATGTCTTTCGTGATGACCCAGAAAGCAACGGAAACCTAGCCCCTTTCTTCATCTGTGATTGGCAACCGCGCCCTCATCGCACTCCACGGTCCATCACTGCCGACAAAGGGCACTATGTGCCAATCCAACAAGTCCAGCACCCCAGCGGCCCTGCACTCCGGTACGCTGGCACTTTGAGATCCACATCTCGCCACATCACTCCTGCCCTGTCTCGATCCGCCTCCCCAGGCACCTGCATCCCCCAACCTGTCGCCAGTACAGGTCAAGCGCGAGGAGATCCCCATCTCCTTCGAGGAACTGAGGCAGTCGCGCAGCCTACAGCGACCCCTCAAGCGATCCTCCAGCCCTCCTTGGGGCCACGGTTGGAAAGGCCTCCCAAGACCGAGCCCCACAACACTCCACCGCATTCTTGGGCCGGCTCGTCGTCAGCGGTCACCGCCTCGACTTCAGTCCCTGTCCTACGTCACCCCGCCTCCGGGCTTCCTCAATCGTCTTCACCGTCGTCACCGCCGCAAGGCCGCTCGAGCACTCGTTCCTCGCGAAGTTCGCCCGGTGGACAGTCACAACAGTCGCCTCTGTCCGCATGCAGTCCTTTGTCCCCCTTGTCGCTGATAATGTCCTCTCCTGCTGCCACCCCTGATAAGGAGACATTGAAACTCCTCCTCCCACTCCGATATGACGGGAAGTCGGTGGTTGAATGCAACCGCTTCATCTCGCAGTTGCTCATCTACTGGACGATCAACACGGCCCTCTCTTCCATCGAGCTGAAGATTCAGGTTGCCCTCAGTCTCCTCGATGATGATGCACGAGCGTGGGCCACCCCCATCTTCTCCCAGCTTGCCTCTGTCCAAATTGGGATCCAGGGAGCGACGACCCCCTTTGCCGACAAAGTAGCCTTCCTTAAAGCATTCAAGGCCCATTTTGGCAATCTCGACGACGCTGCCGTGGCACAGGTGGAGCTCACCAAGCTCTGTGCCAACAAAACCATGCGTGAGAAGTGCACTGCCGCAGAATTCTCTGCGCTGTTCAAAGGTCCGGCAGACCGTTCTGGGTATGAGAACCTGGAACTACGCGACAAGTACCTGAGCGGCATCCCCTCCTGCGTTTATCGCAAGATCAAGCTCGAGACCTTCGCCACGTGGCAAGCCACTGACAAGCGCGCCACTGAGGTTGAGCAAATCCTCGACGTCAGCCGGGCCCGGCAGCCTGAGTTGAACAATTTCTTCTCGTCACGAGGATGAGGACGCGGTGGGGCACGTGATGGTGCACCCTCATCACACGCAGCTTCGGCCAGCATCAGTGCAGCCGTCGGAAAAGGAAACTTCCCCGGCAGTTGTTACGGCTGTGGGAAGCAAGGGTACCGACGCTTCGAGTGCCCCAATTGTAAGGACAAGCCTTACACAAAACACGCCGACGCGCGGGCTACGGTTGCCTCGGGCTCTACCCAGGCCGCAACAAGCGCCCCCGTCACGACATCACCCTCGGCAAGTATAAGTGCCGCTTCAGCAAAATCCGAGCAATCGGAGCTGGCGGACTTAATGGCACAGGTGAAGTCGATGCGCGAGGAGCTCGAGCACTATCGGGCAATGAAGGAGGAGGGTTTTTAATCCGGTCCGCGCTTCGTGCCGCACGCGTCGGGCCGTGAGTATCATGTAACAAGTACAATGTATTGTCTTCTGCAATGGTGTACGAGTTGGACCAGGGGTCCCAGCACTTTCACATTCCAGTAAGACTTCAAGGGAAAAGACGGCACAAGGACATAATCGCCATGGTGGACAGCGGAGCCACCACCAAGTTTATCAATAAGCGATTCATCACAGAAAATAAGGTGCAGACGTGGAAGCTAAAAGAGCCGATTCCGCTATACAATATTGACGGCACCCTCAACAACAACGGAAGCATCTCGGAAGTAGCTGTGCTACAGATGCAGATAGGAGAACACATCGAGAAGACAGTGTTTACGGTCACGGACATTGGTCCAGAAGATGTGATCGTTGGGTTGGATTGGTTACGTGAGCACAACCCTGAAATTGATTGGGAGAAAGGCTCCCTCAAACTATCACGATGTCCTGAAATGTGCAGTGCCAGGAGGAATGGCCGAATGGAGCAAGCAGCGACTGCGCGTGATACGGGGGTCAGGCCCACGGCACACAGGTGTTCACCGAAATCCAAACGGTCGTGTCACAGTTTCCCTAATTTTACCTAATTTTTCCGCTATTTCTGCGGACATATCAAAGGGTATAGGGACTTATCCATACTTATCCGTCCGCATATGGGTACATCTACATATCTAAGGGGTTATCCGCTTAAATAAGCGACACATGATCTTGTTCTGGACACATCAGGCTGGACTCTGATGCCGGACCTTTTCTAGATAGAAACCAGACTCCTTCTGGACCATGACATCATTCTGACATCATAGGTAGGAGCTAGGCTCAGGCACTAGGCCATAGGCCGGTCAATTCTGGACCCTAGGCCCAGGGCAGGGCAGGGCCAGACTATGACATCATATATGACATCATAGAGCACATGATACTTAGTAATCCTTACCCAGCTAGGTACCAGGGGTCCATTACCGGTCCCTGGGGGGTTTTCCCTCATGTATATAAGGCAGCATCCTGGGGCACCCTGTCCCCCAGTTCTATTCACTTCGTTGTTGCGCTTAACAGCATTACCTCCCCATACTTAAGTGCTATTATCTCCCCCCCTCAATATCAAGCTATAAGGTGGGTTTGTAGGTTTTGTGATAGGTCGGTTATAGGTGCTTGCCGGAGTAAGGTACTCCCGGACTTCGAACCCGAAGAAGATCCGACGGAAGTAGAGTGGGATGAGGCTGATTTGATCGAAGCCTGGGAGCAAGGTATTACGCTTCCTGGCGCCCCTCAGCTGTTCGTCGCAGCTGGGCATACGTACTCCCAGTTGTTTGCTGAGGAGGAAATCAAGAAGAAGGTTGTTAAGACCGCCGAGGAGTCGGTACCTAAACAGTACCATAAGTTTCTGAATGTCTCCTCCAAAGAAGCATCAGAACAGCTACCCAAAAGGAAGCCGTACGATCATGCGATCGGACTCGTGCCCGGCTACTTGACGTTCCATTCGAAGGTGTACCCCCTGTCGAACAACGAGCAGGAGGAGCTTGACAAGTTCCTCAAGGAGCAGCTAGCGAAGGGCTATATACGGGAGTCGAAGTCGCCAATCTCATCCCCCTTTTTCTTCATCAAAAAGAAGGAAGGGACGCTTCGACCTATACAGGACTACCGCCGATTGAATGCGATCACGGTCAAGAATCGTTACCCCTTGCCGTTGATCGCCGAAATGGTGGACAAGCTCTGTGGCGCTACGCTCTTTACGAAGTTCGACGTTCGATGGGGATATAACAACGTCCGGATCAAAGCCGGTGACGAGTGGAAAGCGGCCTTCGTGACCAACCGAGGGTTGTACGAGCCCTTGGTGATGTTCTTTGGCCTCACGAACTCCCCCGCGACCTTCCAGGCGATGATGAATGAGATCTTCCACAATCTCATCGTCGGCGGCAAGATCCTTGTGTACCTGGATGACATACTCATCTTCTTTACCAACAAGGAGGAGCATGAGAAGGTCACACGCGAGGTTCTGCGCCACCTTCAGGATAATGATCTGTTCCTGAAGCCTGAGAAGTGCGAATGGGATGTTCCCAAGGTCGACTATGTTGGCTATGTGTTCGGTGGCGATGAGGTAGCAATGGATCCTGCAAAGTTGAAAGGAATCAATGAGTGGCCGGTACCCCGGAACAAAAAAGATGTTCAGAAGTTCTGGGGGTTTTCCAACTTTTACCGCCGCTTCATTAAGGACTTTGCTAAGATCTCACGACCACTCGACCGACTCACAGGGAACGACCCATGGCATTGGGGTGAAGAGGAGCAGCATGCCTTTGATGAACTCAAACGGCTTTTTGCGACGACTCCAGTCTTGGCATTGTACGACCCTAACCAGGAGACGCGAATTGAAGTCGATGCCTCAGGATATGCCACCGGTGGCGTATTGATGCAGAAGCAGGACGATGGCAAATGGCATCCTATCGCCTTCCGGTCTCATGCTATGGACCCTGCCCAGCGTAACTATGAGATCTACGATAAGGAGATGCTTGCAATCATTGAGGCATTAGAAGATTGGCGCCACTACCTCGAAGGATTACCCAATCAGTTCGAGATTGTAACCGATCACAAGAACCTCGAGTACTGGCGCACGTCACAACACCTCACGTGTCATCAAGCGCAATGGTCACTGTTCCTGGCTCACTTCGACTTCTACATCACGCATAAGGCCGGAACGTCGAATGGAAAGGCTGATGCCCTATCACGCCGATCAGATCATCAGGTCGGCGATGAGGATGATAACACCGATCAGGTGGTTCTCAAACCGGAGAGATTCCGCATCGCCTCCACTAGGCGCGGTCATGCCTCGGTGACAGCTGATCAGTCGCTTCTGAAGCGCATCAGGGAGTGTTCGGAGAAGGATCGGGAGGTGGCCGAGGCACTTGAGAAGGTGCAGGACCTCGGACCGCCCCGGCTGCAAAGGGGTTTTGAAGAGTGGAATGCCGAACAAGGGCTTCTGCTGTTCCGCGGGTGCGTGTATGTTCCAAAGAACGCGGAGCTCCGGTGGGATATAGTCAAGATCCACCACGACTCGCCGATCGCCGGTCATGGCGATCGTGCCAAAACCCTTGAGCTCGTATCGCGGAATTACTGGTGGCCTGGGATGTCCAAATTCGTCAATGAGTACGTAAGCACCTGCGATGTGTGCAACCGTACCAAGACATTCCCAGCCAAGCCCCAGGGTCCGCTGAAGCCAAACGAGATCCCCGAGCGCCCGTGGCAGATCATCACCACGGATATGATCGTTGGCTTGCTGAAGTCTGATGGGTTCGACTCGATCCTGGTCACCGCCGACCGCTTCACAAAGCAGGTCCACTTCTCGGCCTGTCATGGGACCCTAACAGCCGAAGGTGCGGCGGATCTGTACATCCGTGACGTCTTCAAGCATCATGGGGCCCCGGCCAAAGTCATATCAGACCGAGGTCCCCAGTTTGCTTCGAAGTATCTCCACGCGGTGTACAAGGGACTAGGAATCGAGCCGGCACTGTCCACAGTGTTCCACCCCCAGACTGATGGCCAGACTGAGCACTGGAACCAGGAGATCGAGCAGTACCTGCGTGCTTTCACAAGCTACAGGCAGGATGATTGGGCAAAACAGTTGCCGCTCGCGGAGTTCGCACTGAACAACCGAGTTCACTCCGCGACCGGGTAATCCCCATTCTTCCTGCATCAGGGGTACAATCCTGAGATCCAGGTTCGGATCAATCCGATGTCCGCGATGCCCGCTGCCGCCGATCGGCTTAAGATCCTGAAGGAGATTCGCGACGATACGCGCTCTGCGCTCGAGCTGTCGGCTGAGCGCATGAAAGTGTACTACGATAAGCACGTGCAAGAGGCACCGGTCTTTGCGCCGGGGGACAAGGTCTGGCTTGACGCTCGGAACCTTAAGCTGAAACAGCCGAGCAAGAAGCTCAGTCCCAAGCGCCTCGGACCGTATGCCGTGCGGCGAAAGCTCAGAGACTTGGACTACGAATTGGTTTTGCCGAAGTCAGTGCCGGTGCACCTAGTGTTCCATGTCTCCTTGCTTAGCAAGTACACGCGTAGCGAGATCCCGGGCCGGGAGCCGGAGGAGCCGCCTGCGATCGAGGTTGAGGGCGACGAGGAGTACGAAGTTGAGCGGATCAAGGATTCGAGGATCTTCCGGCGTCAACTGCAGTACCTCGTCAAGTGGAAGGGTTATGATGACTCGCACACATCATGGGAACCTGCGCGCAACGTTGCCAATGCGCCGGCCCTCATAGCCGACTTCCACTGGAAGAATCCAAATGCCCCTCGCCGTCTCAACGCTGCTACCTTTAGTGATCTCAACTTTCAGCCAATGCCTTCGCCGCTAACTGAAGCACGATGCCGCTCCGAATGGGAGATGGGCAAGGGCGCCTCGCATGAGGTCATGCGCTGTTGAGGGGGGGGTAATGTCATGAGTTGGTACGGTGTCTAGCCGTTTTTTAATTTTTCCTTTTCGCGGACTCGAACCCGCGACCTCTGTACTACATGCCCAATATGGACGTGTCGATTATCTACTGTATGATTAGATTAGATGGGGCGGCAGTGCATGGCACAGCTCGGGCTCCGCTGACACAGCCGCTCTGACTCACCGGCCCCCGAGGCCACGTCAGCATGCTGTGCATGGACCAGCTGCGCACGGACCAGTGCGCACAGCCTGCCCTTATCTTCCCCTGTATATAAGCTGGCCTCTGCTGCCCTAGGGACCTCAGTTTCGACCTTTTGTCCCTAGGTCAGTAAGCCCCCTCTTGTATTCTTTCTTACCTCACTAATATATTCACTTGTCCCTAGCCTTAGGTTTGAGCCTCGCTCACCATCGCTTCGGTGAGAACCAGTCGAATGCCCCTCACTTTTAGATATTCCCCTGTCGCTTGACCTCAAGTCACGACAGCTGAGGGGCATCAGGAAGTGTAATACCTTGCTTCCAGGCCTCGATCAAGTCGGCTTTGTCCCACTTGACATCTACCGGATCTTCTTTGGGTTCGAAGTCCAGCAGCACCTTACTCCGGTAGGCACCTATGACCGACCGTTTGGATTTCGGCGAATGCCTGCGCGCCGTGGGCCTGACCCCCGTATCACGTGCAGTCGCTGCTTGCTCCATTTGGCCAGTTTTTCTAGCGCTACACGTTTCAGGACATCGTGATAATTTCAGGGAGCCCGCCTTCCAATCAATCTCAGGGTTGTGCTTGTGTAGCCAATCCAACCCGACAATCACATCCTCTGGACCTATGTCCGTGACCGTAAACACTGTCTTCTCGACGTGATTTCCAATCTGCATCTGTAGCATGGCTACTTCCGAGATGCTTCCGTCTTTATTGAGCGTTCCATCGATGTTGTAAAGCGGAATGGGTTCTTTTAACTTCCGCATTCGTACTCGATTCGCCATGATGAAACGCTTGTTGATGAACTTCGTGGTGGCTCCGCTGTCCACCATTGCGACTATGTCTTTGTGCCATCTTTCTCCCTTGAGGCGTACTGGAATGTGGAAGTGTTGGGACCCGTGGTCCAATTCGTAAACATTCGCAGTAGCCAATACATTGTACATGTTATTATTATGCAGCCCGATGCGTGCGGCACAAAGCACGGACCGGATCAAAAAGACTCTTCTTTGAGCGCTTGATAGTGCTCCAACTCTTCGCGCATCGACTTCACCTGTGCCATTAAGTCCGCCAGCTCCGATGGTGCTGAAGCGGTATTTGTACTTGCCAAGGGTGAAGCGACGGGGGCGCTTGTCGCCGCCTGGGTGGATCCCAAGGCAACCGTAGCCCGCGCGTCGGCGCATTTTGTGTAAGGCTTGTCCTTACAATTGGGGCACTCGAAATGACAGTACCCTTGCTTCCCGCAGCCAAAACAACTACCAGGGAAGTCTCCTTTTCCAACGGCCGCATTGATGCTGGCCGAAGCTGCGTGTGACAAGGGTGCACCACCACGTGCCTGTCATGAGTTGGCATATGATCAGCATATATACCTCTGGTCAGATGTCAAGCCAAGCTTGACATTGCACCCTTTTGGTGTAGAGGTTATGATGTGAGACCGGCGCATACATGTAAATCCTTACAAAATGTCAAGCTTCAAGTGGTCGAGGGTTCAACTCCCCATGTAAGCAGACATTTCGAGCAAATTCACTAGAGGTCACATATGATATGTGATTGCTTGGCAGTGAAGGGGGCTGGTGTCTGAGGTCCAGATGGTCAGGTGACCGGACTACATGGGGTCCTCCTGAACTCTCAGAAGATCATCAAGGTTAAGCCAGAGTTGGTAACCCTTGGGGTCAGGGTATTATATGGATTCACATGAGGTCATGTGCCCTGGAAGGGGGATAATGTCATGAGTTGGCATATGATCAGCATATATACCTCCGGTCAGATGTCAAGCCAAGCTTGACATTGCACCCTTTTGGTGTAGAGGTTATGATGTGAGACCGGTGCATGCATGTAAATCCTTACAGTGCCCCTCCACGTCCTCGACCCCAAGCTGAGAAGAAGTTGTTCAGCTCAGGCCGACGGGCCCGGCTGATGTCGAGAATCTGCTCGACCTCAGTGGCGCGCTTCTCAGCTTCTTGCCACGTGGTGAAGGTCTCAAGCTCAATCTTTCGGGAGACATGGGAGGGGATGCCGCTCAGGTACTTGTCACGTAGTTCCAGGTCCCCATACCCGGAACGGTCCGCCGGACCCTTGAACAGTGCAGAAAACTCCGCAGCAGTGCATTTTTCACGGACCAACTTGTCCGTGCAGAGTTTTGCCAACTCTACTTGTGCCGCCGCCTCATCGTCAAGATTGCCAAAACGAGCCTTGAAGGCGGCAGTGAAGGCTGCTTCGTTCCTGAAGGGGGTTGTGACCCCTTGCACACCCATCTGCACCGATGCGAGTTGGGCGAAGTATGGAGTGGCCCAGGCGCGGGCATCACCATCGAGCAGGCTCATTGCAACTTGCACCTTGAGTTCGATGGTGGTCAGCGACGTGTTGACCAGCCAATAGATGCGGAGTTGCGACAGGAACCTGTCGCATTCGATGATGGTCTTGCCATCGTATTGGAGCGGGAGGAGGAGTTTCAGGGTCTCCTTGTCGGGGACAGTCGATGGAGAAGACATTATTGGCATCGGGGGGGACGGAGGACGCTGTGGGGGCGGAGGTGGCTGTTGTGTCCCTTCGCTGGTCGGACTACGAGGGGAGCGAGTGCGTGAGCGGCCTCGCGGCAGAGACGGTGATGAAGGCACCGGAGGAAGTTCGGAGGAGGGGTTACGTACGTCAGGGACTGCTAACGTGGAGGCGAGCGCTGTCAGCGAGGCGGGCTGAGCAGGATCCGTGGACTCGGACTCCGAGACTCCTTCTTCACTCACACTCTCCTCAGGCTCAGGCTCTGGCGCAGGGTCTGGAGGGATATTTCCTCATGCTTGACTTGGACCGGCGACAGTTTGGGGAAGGTGGGAGCTGGGGGAGACAGGGTGAGAGTGCCACGAGGCAGATCGAGATGCGAGGGTGCTGCGGGGACCGAGCGGATGTTGGGCCCTTCTGATCGCCTTGTAGCATGGGTAATCTTGCTCGATCAACCGGGGTGTCCGATTGGGACATGGCTGCTGCTCGCAGGTGAGGATGATAGCCTCAGGGCCGTCTGGAATGTACGTCGACGAGGTCCTGAGCGTCAAAAGCGTGAACTTGGCCTTGACAGGCAGCCACATTGGGTGGGGGAAGGACGGGGAGGTGCGTGTACTACAAAAGGCCGTACTATGCTAGCTTACACCTACGGCGCCCGAGATGACACTGAGATTCGCAGTTCACGTAGGGCCCAATACTGCTTTTGACTATTATGCAGCAGGAACCAAGGCTACGTGTCCGTGAGAACAAGTACCGCTCACTGAAGCGCAGGTACTGAAGAGTTTGTCTCTCGAGTGTTGGCGATGTATAGTAGGCTATCTAAGTATCGTAAAGTATAGTGAGGGTACGCACCACCCGGCCTGTAGGAGAGAGAAGTGAGTGTGGTGGTTTCTGGAACACCGGCAATGTTGGGGAGTTTCGACCTAATGTTGCGACTTGAGGTCAAGTGACAGGGGAAACCTAAATGCTGGGGGCATTCGACTGGGTCTCACCGAAGCGATGGTGAGCAGAGCTCAAACCTAAGGCTAGGGACAAGAAATGTATTAGTTAGTGTAAGGTAAGTAAGAGAATACAGGAGCTTACTGACCTAGGGACAAGAGGTCAAAACTGAGGTCCCTAGGGCAGCAGAGGCCGGCTTATATACAGGGGGATGCACAGCATGCTGACGCGGCCCCGGGGGCTGGTGAGTCAGAGCGGCTGTGTCAGCGAAGCCCAAGCTGTGCCGTGCACTGCCGCCCCATCTAATCTAATCATACAGTAGATAGTGATGCGTCCATATCAGGCATGTAGTACAGAGGTCGTGGGTTCGAGCCCGCGAAAAGGAAAAATTAAAAAACAGCTAGATGCCGTACCAACTCATGACACCTATGAAGTTAGTGATTGCACTACCCATTGAATGGCTCAATTTCACCATATTATTCACTGAGTGTTTGAATGATTTTCACCCCGCTGATAGGTCATAACAAGCTCATCATATTCACACTATTACTACACACTGAAAGATGTATACTACATTTGGTGTACAGCATGTGCTCATGACATACCAGTACAAAGTTCCTAAACATTCTATAGCACTCACAACACTGCCACCCTGTACATAAAGTAGTAGCTAATCTGAGAAGAAAATTAGTTCCCCCTCTCCATAGCAGTACAAACAATGCTCGAGGTGTGCTCACCAAGACTTATTCTGCCCGTGCCAGATGTCTACTCCTCCACATTGCACGTCTGGGTCCTCATATGGATGATCTGCATGCCAGGCTCCCTTAACCCCGAGCTACTTGCTTAGCCCAGCGACTCAATCAGCCCAGTGACACTGTCTGTACACATGACTGAAGGCTGTTCCTTACTTATCAGGTACTTGCTCGCCCTCATTAAAACATGCACTCACCAAAGCAAACAATGTTACCTGCAACATTATTATCATAACTATCTAGAGATGAGAATGCATGTCATTGGACAATTACTAGGAACATACCAGATTACTGAATAGCAGAAACACCACTGATCTGAAAAGACAAAGTCATTGAATATATGTAGTGAAGTCTGGCTTAGAAATCAATGCACATTGGCAGGGACTGATGGTGGGAGAGAACAATGGACTAAGACCAAATCAAGTGCTGCCTACCCGGAAGGTCTCATCTGATTGTTTGTTTGACTTTGCTCATCATGCAGCTATAGCAGATTGTCAAAATCACTCAGGTAGTGGGTGAATCTGCTAGTGGTGAATTTCACTAGGAACTTCACTCACAATTTGATTCACTGCCTATTCACCCACTACTTGAGTGATTGCTGTTTTTGACTCATGTGCTCGGTGAATATCACTGCTCGGGTGGACCACAGTGAGTGGTGGATTAGGTTACAAACTGATGGGCTATGGCCCGCGACACCTACATAAGTCCTATTCCCACACCGGCGCACGACCACGTGATCCGGGCCGGCTGCGACGCTTGCCCGATGTACCCAAAAGTCAACACGTTCATGCTGCGCCGCTGCAGCAGCAGTGGCTGGACAGCTCAGCGCCCGAAGTATCATGTAACAACGCTTATATTTGGATTCCGCTGCGTGAATTGTCAAGGAATCTCGGGCACTGAAAATCACCTCCGACCGTAGCCTGATCGATCCTCGCGGTATCATAGGCCTGCGGCCCACGAGCTCCTCGGGCATTCGAAGGGGCGGCACTATCCTCTCGACATCACGATTTCACTACCGGAGTAAACGTAAATCCTCATGTCATCATAATTCCGCTCTTGTGCTGCGAGTGACCCGGCATGTTTGTGTGGCATCCATGCAATACGATTGCGCTGTCATCAGGATACACATACCGAAAAGGCCTGTGATATACTTTCTCCCATCGACCTTGTCCTTCCATATGGAAGAACGAGGCGGCTCGCAGTCTCGGGTCACGCAGCTCGAAACAAAAGGTGAGTCGCGCAAACGGCATACGTTGCAACTCTTTCCGATCCGTGTGAAATCGGACAATACGAAATCAATCTCCGGCTTTACGGAGAGTGAACCACAGTGGCAACCCTTCTTGGCAAGTCCTGAAGTGTTTCGGTTGACACAACGGACTGGACTCAACTGTCACTGTAGGAACAAAAGAAACTGCGACAAAGCGCAAATTCAGGCTCTGATGCATACCCGACACTACGGGGATACAGAAAATATCGTAGTCAAGAGCAATACTTGCAGGAGAGATATTGGTGTACTCCGTAATGAGGTGTCGTCAACGATTACACTCTAGCTAATGGTCGTGACGTTGTGAGTGAGGGCAACATCCTATCACCAAGCGCGAAATGAGATCATACGACATACATGTGTTTGAATAATCGGACAGCGTCTAGCAGTGAGAATAGATTCAGTGATCCAGCGTCGCCAGGGGCGATAGTAGGAACCATCGTTGAAGCGCAATATCCTCGTTCACCTTCATTTGCCCTTCGGCTTCGGCTTAAGCTTCAGCATTGACTTCAATTTAGAGGTTGTCCGACCCTTCAGACCTGACGGCTGTGGCACTGAAGACGGTCCGGGAGAAGGGCTCGCATCCCGTGTTACTTCTTCTCCAAAGAAGGGTGGCATAATTGATTCCATCTCCACCTTCAGATCCCAAAGCTGTGACGTTGAAGACGGTCTGGGAGAAGGGCTTGCATCCCGTGTAGTTTGTTCTCCCAAGAAGAGCGGCATAATAGGTTCCAACTCCAGCGAGTCGTCATCGGATTCATCAATATTTGAGGCCTCTTCAATCATAGCCTGCTTCCCTTCTGTCTTCGTCATAGGATGACTAATCTGGTCCGGCCTAAGGGCGGTGTTGGCAGTCTTGTTCGCAAAGTGGCCCCGTCGCGGGTCATCTTTGAATTCGCCGATTGTGAGCCCTCTGACGCTTGCCATGATGCGTCCCAATTCGAGTACCATCCCCTTGGAAACATTGGATGCGACAGTCTGAGTGATGGGAGCGAGTGTCTCTTCGATGAGCTTGTATTGATCATGCAATAGGCGTCTCATCTTGTCGAGAAGATAACCGGCTGGCCGTGCGACTGCGTGAAGATGAATCACTTCTTCACTAAATTCCCCCGGTTTTGTTATCGCCCATTCTCTGCCTCTCTGTGTCCAGAACAGCTGTGACGCGTAGAATAGCTGCATGTTATAGCTCCCCTTGAGTTCGGCATCCATCGACGGCTTCAGACCGTTGACAAGGACGACCACTTTGTTGAACACAAAGTACGTGGACAACCACCAGAGAGACTCGACATCATGTAGAGGGTTGTACCGAAAAGCCGGACGTTTCGGGCCAGGCTGGTCTGGCTTCGCATCCGCAGGGGCCTGGCTTTGGAAGGCTGCATCCTCGAGTTCGTCTAGAGAATATGTGCTGGCATTGTTGGGTGCGACCGCGGGCTGGTTGTCGAAGTACAAATATTTCATACATTCCACTTCAACCGCCATGAAGTCTTCTGTGCCCTAACGAATCAAGCAGATATTGTTAGTTTTCGTCACATAAATATCGACAGACTGCAAATTGAAGACGCACCGTACGCATCTCATGACGCTCACTCTGAGTATCGCCAAACCTCATTGCATATTCGAAATCAGTCACCTTCCCTACAATTGTACCATCAGGGAGCCTTTCAGCGAGTACATTGCCAGAACTGATGTCACGATGGATCCAACCGGCACCATGTATGATGGTCAGGACTGGGAAGGGCAGCAGCAATGCATGATGAGATTTATACAAGAGCACAGGTTGAAGATTACTCACCGATGAGAGCGTGGATCAAGACACGGAAAATGTCTTCCAGTGACGTCAGGTCGCATATACGAACGCAAACCTCCTTGAAGACAATGCGGTAGTGCACTCGCGGATGGTGCAAACGAGGCGCTGGAGTTGAGGGCCTCTGTTGCGGTGCATGTGAACGATGGTGCCCCGTGCCAGCGTTCGATGGGAAACTTGATTCCATGCTCTTGATATTTTCGCTATTGATGCCATCCTCATATAGTTCTCGGAGTTTGAAGCTACCATGGTCAGGCGGGACGTCGAATTCCCGCCGCATCAAGTCCCGGGTGTGATCTACCTCCCACCGCCGTCCTATCTGAACGGAAACGGCTCCATGACGCAACACGGTGAGGAGAGACTTTTGAAGTCGCTTATAGTCCTTTGGGTTGGATTGTTTGACCGAAGTGTGAATATCTTCCATAGTCTGTCCTTCTTTGGGTCGGTTGTGGTCGATCCACGAGTCTTTCAGAGCAACGGGATTGCCCCGCTTCTCCCCATGCTGCCCTGTCAACTCGTATGCTTCCCATACACGCGTCCCGCGTCCCGGTCCGCCGTGCGCACCGTGGTCTGCAAGAACCCTGTGTGTACGATACCACACGTCGGGTTTACGACTCTCGTCTTGAACTAAAATCTCCAGTTGTGGAGCGCCGTCTTCTCCGGGGACGAATTCGCCATCCTGGAGGACATATGCGATTGTGGGATCCCAGCCGACCTCTGCTTCATTGGCATACATCATGGCTAGAAAGAAGTGCACAACCGTCTCGTGATCCTAGAACATCCTGAGTCAGAACGATAGCATCCGTGCACCATGGTCCACTTACTGTCCGCCAGTTGATCTCCTTACTCACGAAGGTGTCCGCGCGACTCGAGAACCACAACCGCATCGTCTCGTTCTCGATCGTCATGCCATAGACAAACCGATGTCTTGCGTCCTCACGCATGCACTGGTGCATGCTCCACAGTACCTTGGCTACATTCTGCGAAGCGAACACCATTTCAATGAGTGAGAAACGATGCACACATACAATACTCACGTCGTCCCTGTCCTTCAGTCGGTCCTGCTTCTTGTACTCCGCACAAAGTGCCATGTCTTGCCACCGGAGACGCGCAGCATCAGGTGTTTTGCTCTTCAAAACGAAGCAGCCATCAGGCTTGGTTTCCGATGACCTCACGTATGCCATCGGCTTCTCGCGGGGACGTTGAACCAGCGTCAAAAGCTGGCTGTTGGCGTTACCGCCACTTTGGGAGACGATGCTTTTTGCCACGTCGACGAGTGGCTGAAAGTAAACATCCTCTACAGGCTCCGCCTTTCCGGGGCTGACAGAGAACAGTGCCCAATGTCCATCGGGAGTGATAGCGCCTTTCGATTTCAGCTTCTTGATCGTCTTGTCAACACTCAGGCCCCTGCGCAGTTGAGGAACGAGGGCCTCTAAGAAGTATTTCACAGAGACCTCGGGGATCGTCTCGCCAATGTCTTCGATGACAGCCTTGCGTCGGGCATTGGTGTTGCCTTGAAGATATGCATCCGTGCTAGTGGCCTTTCGTGCAAGAGGTGTTTCGCTCAGCTTAGTTTCCGCAATGCGTGGATGAGCAGGGGATTCTGGCTTACGCTCCATAATGAACGCGGGTCTTCGATTGAGGTAGTTCGCCGCATTTCTTATAAGCAGAGAGTCGTGGCTGGTGGGGCTTGTATTCTGGGTGGCTCGATGGGTAGTGATGTGGCTGGATCAAAGGCATCAGTGATGACTGAGGAGAACAATGGGTCAACACATGCAACGCGCCTTCAGACGGTCCTGAGTAGAATGGAAGTGGCAAATTAATGAACGACAAGCTGATCGATCGTGCTAGCAGAACAAGCGAATTACTCTGCTTGGATGGGCACAGACAAAAGCAATTTTCGGAAATGAAAGAGGCGACTTCTACCACAAGACTTGTGTGGCACACGCGTCGTGTGTATCGAGCAAGTTGGACGACAGCCACAAACGCGTCGGTCACGTGTATCGGCAACGCCCGACACTTCAAGTTGGTAGCGGATTGATCACAGGCCTATTACAGGGCGCTGATTGGAATGGGATGTGTGCCTATCGAAGACCACCGAGGGGCGGCAAATACTGTCCTATAGGAGTGACCGGGGTCCTGCCTTCCGACAGACTGGTAAGGACATCGGCAGATCAGCCTCATGTGTTGCGATTTTGAAAGATGTCCCAGCTTGATCTCCCCTTCGCGCAAGTATCACGATATGATCTGGATTTGCGTCCACGCGCGCTCCAACTTCAAGCTCATGAAAAGATCGCATCTGAATCCAGTCGTTCCGGAGATCTGTAGCTCAGGAACATACCTAAGGCAAGCCACGGTAAGCCACGTAAGTATCTCTGGTGGGTCCCATGATGCGACTGACTATAGACACAAATCGGCTTGCGCCTCTCTCTCTGTGATGATCATGGGCAGAGTCTCCTCAACGCGAATTTAACGCATGGGAATAGCTTGAGCACACACTATCGTCAAAACGCTACACAAATTGGTGCTGTACTTTGAAGCAAACTCTCCTGAGCCCCAGGGGACTATCCTCCACACATCATCTTGTTGGAACTTGAGATTGTGGCGAGCGCATGCCACCGTATTTGGCATTGTTTGTAGTACCCCGCAGACTTTGCGCGAGCCGTCCTGTATATTCCTTACGCGTTTGACAGAGCTCAGACAAATGCGATATATCTTCGTTGATCGTTCTCGCTTCGGGTCTCAGACAAACTTTAACACATCTGAGGTTTGGGGCTTCCCGATGGCTTGAAATTCATTGTGTTCTCTCCGAGCTTCCCACTGCCTCCAAAACTACTAGAACACGCAGCTACAGTCGGGCTTGGTGAAACCGGAGTCTCAATGCTCCCAGCGTGCGATTGACTAAGCATCTTCATCACTCATGATGATTCATCGAGTGGCTGACTGAGCAGGTCTTCCTTGAATGAATACCCCTGACATTAGCCGTTGACCGCTCAGGAAGTCGTCCGAACACAACCCCTGCCTGCCGCTCTCGAAAACCACTATATTCCTAAACGGTGTGACAGGTCTGTATCCGCCCATATCGCTCGAGGAGATGTTGCTCGGCGAGCCGCGCCAGACAGACCTATCTCATCGTGAGATCTGTAGGCTACGTTGGTGGCTCGGTCCTCACACGCCTTCAGAACCACCCCAGCGCGAACACCCTCGACATTACGGCGCTCGTACGATCTGCGGAGAAGGCGAAGGTGCTTCAGGAAGAATTCGGCGTCAAGACCGCCGTAGGGTCCAATGAGGACCTTGACAAGCTCGAGGCACTCTCGGAGCAATCGCACGTTGTCATCTCATGCGCAGACTCGGACAACACGCCCCCGATGGAGGCGATCCTGCGAGGCTTGAGGAAGCGGCACGCATCGACTGGCGATCTTCCCATCCTGATCCACACCGTACGTGATCATGAGATATTTGTCCTGGCACTCGGCGCTTATTATGAGACTTGTAGTCGGGCACAGGCGTGATTGCCACGCCAGCCAAGGGCATGTTCGCCTCGGACTTGATCTACTCTGATACCGACGTCGCACAAATCAAATCCATTCCACCAACGGCGTTGCACAGAAATGTTGACCTCACTGTGATGGACGCTGACGAGCAAGGTGCGTGCACGAGACCGTTTCCACAGCTGTGTACTCGCTCAGGCATGATTTCCAGGCTATGTGCGGACCTACATCATCGTGCCGTCGACCATCTACGGCCAGGCGAAGGGCCCTCTATTCGATGCGGGTATCTCGAACCCAATTTCGATCCAGATTCCGGGCCTCATTCGCGCATCGCTCGGCCGCAAGCAGGACGGCGTCGTTGGCTTGGGAAAGTCGATTTGGGCCAATGTCCATATCCACGACAGTAAGTTACCTGCCGTCCAAACCTGCATAAGCTGACTCCACGCTCTTGCAGTGGCGGACCTATACATCGTCCTTTTTGACGCGATCACGGCAAACCCGCAGGGCATCGGGCATGGCTGGGAAGGCTTCTACTTCGGCGAGAACGACGAGCACACCTGGTACGATGTCGGCAAGGCGATCTCGAAGGCGCTGGTCGACCTCGGGATTGGCGGAACGGATGAGCCGATGGAGTTGACGGACGAGGAGCTCACAAGGTATTTGGGCTCGGTGGTGAGTCTCTGCAACATCTGCCGTCCGTAGTGCAGGCTGGATAAATGCATTGTCGTGCAGGATGCCGCCGTTCACGTAGGCTCTAGCTCGCGCTGCCGGGCGAACCGTGGCCGGTCTATTGGCTGGAAGCCGATATACAAAACGGCAGGCCTGATCGCGAGCATCAAGCCCGACGTCGCTTGGTCGTGGGAGAAGGCCCAGAGGGAGAATGGCATCGAGGCACCGATCTCGCGGTGAGTATCCACAGAGCAGAAGGTGTTTTTCGCCATTTGCGCTATTTATATGGGGGTTTTACCGTTTATCCGTCATGGATTGCCGAACGAACCCATTTTTCGCTGAGACGCCTGTTTCTAACCATCGTCAGACATGGAGCGCCCACTCAAACAGAGACGGACCCCTTGTCCCTCGTGTGTAATACTGCGCCTTGATCAACGGGTCAAACGCCGACGAATCCTTAGATAGACAGGTGCACTTAATAACGTGATGTGATAGTAGTTATAGATGGGAACCACTGGTAGCAGTCATGAAACAATTGAGGGCAACGAGATCGAGTACCACTAGTACAACAGGCAGCGTCCAGAGTTACAAATAGATTACAGGCAATAAATAATATCCAGAATAGATACCGAGTAGCAGAGCGATGTAGCATGGCTTGAAGCGTATCTCACATCCAGAGTCCTGATGCCAAGCCACACGATGGAACAGAATGGTCATACCGTACCGAAGCCCCAACGCAGCACTTAGTTTGTCTTCGTTTTTGTCTTCGTGCTTGCTTTGGTCGTCGCCTTAGCGTTAAACGTAGTCCGTGACGTTGATTGGCCCGTCGCAGCCCGCGTTGCTGTAGTCGGGGCTGACGATGATGCGGTCTTGCGTGTAGTGCCCTTCTTCACATTGGACTCTGTCCCATATCGGATGGGAACAGTGCGCTTGCGCTGTAGACGAGTAGTGCGTCCTTCGACAAGGAGCTTTGTCGAGGTTTGACGCACGGATGGGCCGGTATCTTTGTCAACAGATCTTCCAGCGTCAGGGTCTTCGACAACTACGTCTTGCGCATCATCCTTGGCAGTTGCCTCTTCGGCGATGTCTCCGGCGCTTACCTCTCGAGTGAGAGCTGCGAGGCCGGATCCCTGGTCACCTCCGTCTGAGTTTTCTTCTGTGTCGTCATCATCAGTGGGACCGTTGTCGTCGGTAACGTCGCCCTGAGTCGGGATCTCGAACGGATCCTCGACATATTGTCGTGGATCATTGCGTAGAATGTCGACTTGAATGTCGTTTTCCTGGAGCTTGCTAACAATATTTTCGAAGGATGTTATGAAGACGTCATGAAGGAGGTCATGGCCGATTGTGTGACGGATTGCGCCTAGATCCTGCTCAGCTTTCAGATAACAGTTGACTAGTCGCATCCTGATCTCGTTGAGGTCATCAGCGATCTCCCGTATGGCAGCGTGTAGGTAGATGATTTGCTGGTGAAGGTCAGTCTCGTCCTCTAACGCTGTAAATCTTGCATGCGGCGATGTGGCTAACAACTTCGTGTAAATCTTCTGACTGGAGTAGTCTCCCCGCTGCGACGCGTCCATGGATGGGGGTTTACCACCGACCTTGACCACCGATCTGTTGAAGACGAAGTATATTGCCACCCACCAAAGGGATTCAATATCATGAAGGGGGTTGTACCGGAAGGGCACGATGCGGATAATCTTCTTGACTCGATTGACGATTTTACCAGGGTTTCCACGTTTTAAGGCCCTTATCCGGTCTAGGGCGACTCGGTTGGAAGCGGCTACGTTCAGAGGCGGCTTGGCTTCTTTCGCCTTTGCTTCCTGTGGTTTTGGTAAAAATCTGTACCGAAGATCATAGACTTCGACTGCCATGAACGATCTAGTGCCCTGTTCACGGGAGGCGCGGATTAGTAATGAAGACAGTAAACATCATCTGACACTCACAGTCCGGATTTCGTGACCCAAACGATCTTTCAGCTGCATGGCGTATTCGAGATCTGTCAGCTTGCAGCACAGCACTCCATCCTGCATGAAGCTGAGGAGATTACCCGCGCTCATGTCACGATGCACCCATCCAAGTTCATGCAATGCCACCAGCGCTGAAAGGAATGCGACACATCAGTGAGGCCCAATACAAAATGCGACAACGTACCACGAACTCACCAAGTGCAGCATCTATGAGCACATAGAAGATGTTCTTGAGCGAAGTGATCTCGTGAATCGGTATGCATACCTCCTTGAACACGATACGGTAATGGACCTTTGGATGGTATGTATAGATCTTCTGTGCGGAGGCCGTCCTCAGCTCTGCTGAAGTCTGGTGGAAGCCTACGCCTGCTGGCGTCCGGTTGCTCGACTGGGCTGTACTGTTCTCCTCAACTCCGTCCTCCGGAATCTGTTGGAGTTTGAAGCGGTAATGGTGGTGCGGCTCGCCACGGCGCGTCATGAGATTGCGGGTATGATCGAGCATGCCTTCCACGTAGACATCTCCGTGATGTTCCACAGTGAGTAGCGATTGGTCGATAATGTCTCTTGTCGCATCATCTGTTTTCGTGTTCCGGAGCTTGTAGATGATCATGCCTTCTCGTAGGCGATCGGCATCGATCCACTGGTCTTTGAGAGCGAAGCGATCGACACCTTCCTTATTCTTGTCGAATATACACACCTCCCAGACACGCGTACCCCTGCCTCGCAGACCATTTGCGCCATCGTCCGATAACCATCTTATAGTCCGATACCGTACGACTGTTCCATTCTGATCTTGGACATCGATGTCGAGGCGGGGTTTACCTTCTTTGTCCAGTTCAAGCTCGTCGCCCGTGCCGTTCATCTTGCGCACGTATTCCATTGTGGGATCCCATCCCGCCTCATGTTCAGCCGCGTACATCATCGCGACGAAGAAATGAACGACCTCATGATGTGCCTGAACAGATAACAGTGAGCACGAGACACGAAGAATCACTATGGAGGCACAACTCACCGACATGAAATCAATCGGCTTGCTCACAAGCAGCTCTGTGCGGCTGCAGAACCACATCCGCATCGTCCTATTTTCAATCGTGAGTCCATAGGTGAATCGACGTCTCGCATCCTCCCGCATGCAGTGATGCATACTCCAGATTACCTTTCGGACATCCTGCCATAGCTATCAGCCCAGTATTCAGTTTTGAAATCGGATGTGCTTACATCATCTTTAGTTTTAGCGTTCTCCACCTTCTTGTATTCAGCGGAAAGCGCGATGTCCATCCATCGGAATTTACCCTTAGGCCCTGACTTGCGGATGAAACATCCATCCGGGCGACTTTTCGACGTCCTCGTCTTGGACTTGGGCGCGTGGGCTGGGTTCTGGGCAAACTCGAATAGCTGTTTCTTGCGTGTCATCTTTCTTGCGGCCTTTGCGATAGCTGTTGCCACATCTGCGAGAGATTCGAAGCAGCCGTCCTCGCACTGGGAGGAATTTTTGGGATCCTCTTGGAATGCCGCCCAACGGTTTCCTTCGATGTCGCCCTCTTTGCAAAGTTTGTTAACTAGCTGGTCGATGTTAACGCCTACGGGAAGCCGAGGAAGGAGGTATTTCCGGAAGAATTCAGGCTTGACCTCCGGTATGGTCGTTCCAAGATCTTCCATCACGGCTCTGCGAGCTGCATCGAGGTTGCCTTCCATGTAAGACGCGCTTTGAACAGCCTTGACGCGGACCGGCGTTTCGCTCAGGTTAGCAGACGGGTTGGCCTTGGAGGCACCAGAGGATGGCTCACCCTCCATGTTGGTTGGTGGTCCTCAAACGATGTATCTTGCTGCATTTTATATGACCAGGAGTTGTGATCAGGATGGCCACCTTCGACACTCTGTTTAATTTCCGTGAGCTGCGAAACACGAGGGGAGGAGCCGTCAGCGATGTGGCTGGAAAGACAAAGGAATAGAGAGCTCTACACTCAGGTGAAAGTGAGAAACGTGGTTGGTCGCTGCCTTGGAGGAGACAATGCTTGACTGCTGTGAAGTTTGTGAGCCGCCCGGTGCTTGCACCTGTGGATCGTGCCTTCGTTCAGGTGCGTGGTCACTGACTGAATTACGGTGGCTCAATGGGCTCAAATTACAGACGCGTGTTTAGTTGATTAGCTGAATAGTGGCGGTGACAGCAAGGTCAGATGAACTCAGCCAAGTGGCACAGATGCAAGAAGATCTCCGGCGCCCGCGTGGGGCCGCCACAGACGCGTCCATCACGTGGAAGGTAGGCACAAGTCACACGCCACACTTCCATCGCAGAGTGAAGTTGAGCTAGGTATCTACGAACCGCATCTTTGCCTCGCAATATGTGATCATGCTTAGACCCACATAAAACCCAAGTCATCCGTGCATATCTACTACATCAATTGGTTTACGATGACGTTGGTTAGTGATCTTCTGCCTCTAAAGGAGACCGTTATTGCTCCCCGACTTCCTGTACCACAAACCAGACTGACGCGCCACCACCGAGCGATCAAGCCACTGAGGAAGACTCGCACGCCTATACACGCATGTACTAACTTATTCACTGATGCTCCACTGCCGCTCGTCTGCCGCACTGCCTCCGCCGATATTGCACAACATCGACGTTTTATGCATTCATGTATGCGAATTTCATCAGCCCTGACACACGAAGGTATGCGTGGCGAGACGGGTCCTTGCTGTCATCCGTCTTCGGCTCGACACGATGAGTCATAGGATCGTCGTCGTGGATGAACGCATTCGTGGGGCACAACGGTGGCCGCGGTGATATTCGTTTTGCTTCTTCATTCTGAACCGTCTGAATTTGGCAGTGGCGTGATCTCTTCAGAGTGCGAACACTTCCGTGCCAAGTGTGGAATAAGAACAGGGCGGGTATGCAGATTACAGGGTCGTTTATCTCGATCGTAGCATGTATACATCACTATGACATCAATAACCGCTGTGTCAGCATGAACATCATCACGGCCACAGAGTAAGATTCGGAGAAGACATGACTCGAATCACTAAGACTACTCCGCTTGGCGCTTCAGTCCATCGGCGACCGCCTGGAATCCCTGCTGCAACTCACTAGAAAGGAGTGCGCGCACAAAATACGCACCGGGACCCGCCATGACCTCCCGCGTCTCGTACAGTGTCTTCCTGTCCTCAACGACACTCAGCGCCTGCCACCGCTTCGCGCGCAGTAACCAGGACGGCATTAGATCCTTCCACGCCACACGGTGCGCCGTTGGGTCGACCGCGAGGTGGGCGTGTGGGACCGGTCGGACGTCGTTGGTATGTGCACCTCCATGAGGAGGTACGATCCCTCGTGCGGTGTCTGGTTGGGCAGCGGCCCCTTGGAAGAGCTGTCCACGATTATCTGTTTGTGTCTGCTGCTCCCGAGTGTCAGCTAGCGGTGTCCACTGTCTACGCAAGGACATGCACACCGTACACGAAGACGCCTGGTGTTCCTGAACGTAGATACACGTCGCAGCCCGAGCATGCCCTCATTGTTCGAGAACGTGTCAGTGATTCGGCTCCAAATGACAAAAGAGAAAGCGACTCTACCTCAGCCACTCGGCCTCTCCGTTCGTCAATCGTGGTTTTGACCGTGAAAGTAACCAAATTCTGTGTTACGGTGGCTCGTGGGCTAAATACGCAGGCGCGCAGTCAGTCGAAAGGTACCGGTAGAAGCGAAGTGTAGTACAGTGGCCAGCAAAGTACGTCCAAATTGATGTATTCTAGTATGTCACCTGTGTTTCCCGAACATCGTCGAACCTGCTGTGGCTGCCGGCCTGTAGATCTGTGGCTGCTGTGGCTACGGCATCTCGGATCATCGGCCGGAGAGAACAGTTGCTGGAGGTGGTCGCGCCTATCGTTTTTTCGCTCGCTGTAACGAGACGATCTCGAAGGCGCTCTTCGAGTTCGGGATGTGCGAAATCTATGAGCCACGAGGTTTGTGGACGAGGGAGCTTGGCCGATTGGCCGGAAACCAAAGTGCGCGATGGCGGGCGTGAGTCACAAGCATCAGGTCTGAGGTCGCGTTTCTATGGAGAAGGTTCGCAGGGATGTCAACATCGGAGTATTGACCCGCGGTCATAAAGCGCGGGAAGTGTGTTCTAAAGGCACAAGGTGTTTGTTTGTCGCCATTCGTCTCATTTACACGATGCGGCTCCTGTTTTGTACGTCCATCACTCAGGGGTTGACGTTCGGATCGACTCCATGACCGCTGTAATGCCTGTGTCTCATTGCCGGGGTAGAGACGTACCTTGTCTCTTGTATGCGATACTGCGACTTTTATCAATGTGTTCAATGCTGATGAACCCCTACTCTGGGTCAAAGAGGTGCACAATTCATAATATAGGGACTACAGTAGCAGTCGTAATACAATCGGAGGCAGCGAGATGGAGCAGATCAACTAGTACAACCGGCAGCGTCCAGAGTTAGAAATAGATCCCAGGCATTAAACAATATAGATACCAAGTAGCAGATCGACGTAGCGTGGGATGAAGCATATGTAATGTCCAGAGTCCCGATGCCAAGCCGCAAATTGGAACAGAAGGCCCATTCCGTATCTCGACACATAGGCTGCACCTACTTCGACTTCGACTTCGACTTCGACTTTGCCTTCACCTTCTTTCTAGTGCTAGACGTAGTCCCTGAGGTTGATTGGCCCGTCGCAGCCCGCGTTGCTGTAGTCGGGGCTGACGATGATGCGGTCTTGCATGTAGTGTCTTTCTTCACATTGGACTCTGCCCCATATCGGACGGGAGGAGCACGCTTGCGCTGCGGACGAGTAGAGCGTCCTTCTACAAGGGGCTCTGTCAAGGTTTGAGGGACAGATGATTCGGTAGCTTTGCTAACGGATCGTCCAGCGTCAGACTCTTCGACAACTGCGTCTTGTGCGCCATCTTCAACAGTTGCCTCTTCAGTCATGTCTCCGACGCTCACCTCTCGAGTTAGATCTGCGAGTCCGGATCCCTGGTCACCTTCGTTTGAATTTTCTTCTGTGTCATCATCATCAGCGGGACCATTGTCGTCGGTAACGCCGTCCTCGACACGTTGTCGTGGATCATTGCGTAGAATGTCGATTTGAATGTCCTTGTTCTGCAGCTTGCGAAGACTTTGTCCGAAGTGTGTTAAGAAGGCGCTTTGAAGTAGGTCGTGGCCAATTCTATGATGAATCCCGCCTAGATTCTTCTCAGCCTCTCGATAACAGCTGACTAGCTGCGCCCTGATCTGGTTGAGGTCGTAAGCGATCTCTCGTATGGCGGCGTGTAAGTGGATGATTTGGTTCTGCAGGGTACGCTCGTTCCCTAACGCTGATTGTCTCTTCTGCGGCGATGTGGTCAACAGTTCGGTGTACTCTTTCTGAGCGTTGTAGCTTCCCCGCTGCGACACGTCCATGGATGGGGGTTCGCCACCGACCTGGACAACTGATCTGTTGAAGACAAAGTATATTGCCACCCACCAAAGAGATTCAATATCATGTAGGGGATTGTACCGAAAGGGCACGATGGGGCCAACCTTGCGGATTGGCACGACGATCTTCTCAGGGTTGCCACATCGCATGGATTCCGCCCGGTCTATGGCCAATTCAATGGATTTCATCTGGTCTTGGGTGGGATTAGCTACACTTGGAAATGGCTTGGCCCCGTCCGCATTTGCTTCCTGCGATTCTGACGGAAGAAAGCAATACTCCATATCGTTTACTTCGACCGACATGAACGATCTAGTGCCCTGTGCACCGGAGATGATAATTAGGAATGAAGACAGTAAACATCATCTGACACTCACAGTCCGGATTTCGTGACCCAAACGATCATCCATCGGCTTTGCGTATTCGAGATCTGACAGCTTGCAATACAGCACTCCATTTATGATAAAGCCGAGGAGGTTGCCTATGCTGATGTCACGATGCACCCATCCAAGCTCATGCAAGATTAGCAGTACTGTACAATCCAACAATAAGTTCTGACACCAAGTGCGACAAAATATCACGGACTTACCAACTACAGCATTTACGAGAATATCAAAAACGTCCTTAAGCGAGGTGTATTCGTGAATCGGCTTGCATACCTCCTTGAACACGATACGGTAGTGCACCTTTGGATGGTATGTCTCAACCTTCTCTACTGACGGCGTCGTTAGCTCCTCTGGGGACTGGTAGTGGCCCACGCCTACTTGTGTTCGTTTTGTGGCCTTGGCTGCAGTGGTCTCTTTAACTCCGTTCTCCGGGAGTTCTTGAAGTTTGAAGCGGATCCGGGAGCGCGGCTCGCCACGGCGCGTCATGAGATTGCGCGTATGATCGAGCATGCCCTCCACGTAGACATCTCCGTGACGTTCCACAGTGAGTAGCGATTGTTCGATAACGCGTTTCGCCGCATCAGATGTTTTTGCATTCCGAAGCTGGTAGATGATCATGCCTTCTCGTTGTCGGTCGGCATCGATCCACTGATCCTTGAGAGCGAAGCGATCGACACCTTCCTCGCCGTCGTCACTTAGTATACACACCTCCCAGACACGCGTACCCCTACCTCGCAAACCATTTGCGCCATCGTCCGATAACCATCTTATCGTCCGATATCGCACGACTTTTCCATTCCCATCTTGGACATCGATGTCGAGGCGGGCGTCGTCGTCGTCGTCTAGCACAAGCTCGCCGTTCTTTTTGTCGTTTTTCCAGACATATTGAATTGTGGGATCCCATCCCGCCTCATGTTCAGCCGCATACATCATCGCGACGAAGAAATGAACGACCTTATGATGTTGCTAAACAGATTGTTGTGAGAACAAGACACAAAGAATACGATGGAAGCACAACTCACCAAAATGAAATTAATCGGTTCACTGACAAGCAGCTCTGTGCGGCTGCAGAACCACATCCGCATCGTCTTATTCTCAATCGTGAGGCCATATGTGAACCGGCGTCTCGCATCCTCCCGCATGCAGTGATGCATGCTCCAAACAATCTTTTGAACATCCTGCCACAGTTATCAGCCAAGTATTCAGGTGTAAAATTTGCTATACTTACATCGTCCCTAGTTGTAGTGTTCTCCATCTTCTTGTATTCAGCGGAAACCGCGATGTCCATCCATCGGAACCTACCCTTAGGCCCTGACTTGCGAATGAAACATCCATCCGGGCGACTTTTCGACGTCCTCGTACTTGACTCGGGAGCGCTGTTTGGGTTCTGGACAAATGCGAATTGCGGTTCTTCGCCTGTCATCTTGACCGCGACCTCCTCGATGGCGTCTGCCACACGTTTGAGAGATCTGAAGCAGACATTCTCCTTCCCGCGAGCATCTTTTGGATCCTTTCGGAATGCCGCCCAACGCTTCCCTTTGATGTATTTCCTAGCGCGAAGATTGTTGACTAGCTGGTTGATGTTAACGCCCACGGGAAGCGGAGGAAGGAGGTGTGTCTGAAAGAATTCGGTCGACACCTGCGGTATGGTTGTTCCAAGCTCTTTCATCACAGCTCTGCGAGCCGCAGCGAGGTTGCCTTCCATGTAAGACGGGCTTTGCGTAGCCTTGGTGCGGACCGGCGTTTCGCTCCGGTTAGCAGGTGTGTTGGCACTGGAGGCATCAGAGGATGGCTCACCCTCCATGTTGGTTGGTGATCCTCGAACGATGTAGCTTGCTGCATATTATATGACCAGGAGTTGTGATCAGGATGGCCACCTTCGACACCCTGTTTAATTTCCGTGAGCTGCAGAACACGAGGAGAGCAGCCGTCAGTGATGTGGCTGGAAGAACAAAGGAAGAGAGTGTTCTACACACAAATGAGAAACGTGGTTGGTCCCTGCCTTGGAGGAGACAATGCTTGACTGCTGTGAAGTTTGTGAGCCGCCCGGTGCTTGCACCTGTGGATCAAGAGGCGGGCGAGATTGAGATCGGGGATATGCTCCACCTGAGAAGTGGATAGCCCCCCGGTGTCCGGGGGGCCTGATTTCAATCTCTGCGCCGTTTTCGCTGAATCTCTGAATAACGCCTGCAAGAGTTTCTTTCATGTCCTATCACTCTGTAAGATGAATGAGATTGAATATAGTCGTATTTTGACAAAAAGAAACGAATTTTCTACTCCTCTTAGAAGCCACTGTCGGATGTGTTTTTGCTGCGTGCAGAGAGTGTGGCCGCAGGCACGTGACATGTGCTGTCCAAGAGCGCGTCGCGCTACGAGTCAGCCTTCCTCACTCTCGCTCAACGCACTCATGAATACAGTATCCCAAGATAGTGACACAAAATCTGCTTTCATTCAATGCTATCTACTCCTGGCGACTTACGCTATTTCGACTTCGTTATCTGCCACTGACTCGGACTCTTTTACATCCCAGTGCCATAAGCAATCACGAGCAGATACGATGCGGGTTGACAATGCAGCACAGCGGACAAAACGAGGCAGATTTTGGGCTAATATACTTACCAGAGCGACCCCATCATGTACTTGATGATGAATGATATCTAGAAAAAGCCTACTCAACTGTGTATGCCTGCTCGAGTGCATCGCTCTTCGTCTACCATGCAAGAAGGGGACTTGAAAAAGGAAAAAAAGGCCCAGCTGCCTGCCTATTATGGTTAGAACATCTATCACATGACGCGTTCTAACTAAGAAGGAGGTTATCTTACCCTACTTTCGGGGTCCTTTCAATGCGCACGGTGAATGTGGCTCATTGCATTTTTGCCCGCCTCTTGCTGTGGATCGTGCCTTCGTTCAGGTGCGTGGTCACTGACTGAATTACGGTGGCTCAATGGGCTCAAATTACAGACGCGTGTTTAGTTGAATAGTTGAATAGTGGCGATGACAGCAAGACCAGATAAATTCAGCCAAGTGGCACAGATCCAAGATGATCTCCAGCGCCCGCGCGCGGCAGCCACAGACGCGTCCATCACGTGGAAGGTTCGCACAAGTCACACGCCACACTTCCACCGCAAAGAGAAGTTGAGGTTCCTAAGTATCTACAAACAGCATTCTTCTTGCCTTGTAAAGTACGGTCACGTATTTTACATCAGACATAAGCCGTTTCACTGTACACTTTGACTTATGATTGCGGCTATTGATTAGTGATCTTCTGCCTCCTTTGGAGGCCGTTATTGCTTCCCGACTTCCTGTACCATAAACCAGACTGAAGCGCCACCACCGAGCGATCAAGCCACTGAAGAAGACTCGCACGCCTATACACGCATGTACTAACTTATTAACTGATGCTCCACTGCCGCTCGTCTGCCGCACTGCCTCCGCCGATATTGCACAACATTGACGTTTTATACATTCATGTATGCGAATTTCATCAGCCTGACACACGAAGGTATGCGTGGCGAGACGAGTCCTTGCTGTCATCCGTCTTCGGCTCGACGCGATGAGTCATAGGATCGTCTTCGTGGATGAACGCATTCGTGGGGCACAACGGTGGTCGCGGTGACTTTTAGTTTTGCTTCTTCATTCTGAACCGTCTGAATTTGGCAGTGGCGTGATCTCTTCAGACTGCGAACACTTCCGTGCCAAGTGTGGAATAAGAATAGGGCGGGTATCCAAATAACAGGGTCGCTCATGTAGACCGTAGCATGTATACATCACTATGACATCAATAACCGCTGTATCAGCATCAACATCAACCCAACACAGAGCAAGGCTCGGGCTGCTCACACCCAGCGATAAAAAACACATGACTCGAATCACTAAGACTGCTCCGCTTGGCGCTTCAGTCCATCGGCGACCGCCTGAAAGCCCTGCTGCAACCCGCTAGAAAGGAGTGCGCGCACAAAATATGCACCGGGACCCGCCATGACCTCCCGCGTCTCGTACAATGTCTTCCCGTCCTCGACGACACTCAGCGCCTGCCACCGCTCCGCACGCAGAAACCACGACGGCATCAGATTCTTCCATGCCACGCGGTGCGCCGCCGGGTCGACCGCCGTGATCATCTCGAGCGGGCGCGACGTGGGCGTGTGAGACCGGTCGGGCGTCGGTGGTATATGCACCTCCATGAGGAGGTACGAGCCCTCTCGGGGTGTCTGGTCTGGCAGCGGCTCCTTGGAGGAGCTGTCCACGATTAACTGCTTGTGTCTATTGCTCCCGCGTGTCAGCTAACGGTGTCCGCCGTCTACGCAGGGACATGCACACCGTACACGAAGGTGTTCCTGAGAGTAGATACACGTCTCAGCATGCGCATGCCCTTACGTGAACGTGTGGGACCCGGACGTACCATTCGGAATAGGACGTGAAGTCGACGAGGATCTGCCATACTTTGTCTATGGGCGCGTCAATTACGGACGATGCGCTGATCGTCAGCGGGCCCTGGAACGACGGAGATGGTAGATTCGACATGACAAGGTACGTGTGATCTTGTGAAAGAGCACCGCCAGGGCGAAAGTCTGATGAATAATACCACACGAAGGTCGAAGTCGATTCTGGATGCTTCGAGTCAATTTCTTAATATCCTCGTTGCGTGATCGATCGAGACGGCATCAATTCCCACACAAAACATACATGCGGAGCCTTCTCACAACTTATAGTATCCCCTAACCTCATATCCAAACCCTCCGCGGGGTTAGAATCCCTCCACTGAATCCTGTGCTACGGCCTCATGGTAGCATCGGGAAAATGTCCGCGAAATAGTATCAATATTGCTAGCACAGCACTTGTACGCCATCGACAACCCCGGTCCCCGGAGACTTCAAGTTGAAAGTTGGCAGTTGGTAGTTGAATAGGGTTCCGTTATCTCAACCCTGCAATCGAATACACCTTGTCACTACAAGCACTGATCAATCATTCTATACAATAGATTGCAGTGACATCAGGGTAAAAGTGAGCCCGCCTGATTAGCGTTTTAATGCCCAGTCTGGGACTAGGAGATCGTGATGGTTACGTAACCAGTATTCCATCGTCTCATTCACTGCTCAGTTGTTCCTTTCTCTCATTTCAATCTTTTCCTTGGTAAACTCACTGCATGCAATTCACTCATAGACCTTATTTTTTGGACAGGAAGGTTGATCCTTGTATGGAGTGTGCTTTTCATAGATATATGGAAACCAGAACTCCCAAGTCTGCCAAGACGTCGCAGTGCGAGCTTGGCGGCCAACGCCATAATCGTGTCTATCACATGCCACGCCTTCTAAACTGTCGGGACAGCCGCTGATGAATCAATGCAGCCAAGCGAATCATCTCTGTCATGAAGAGATGCTTCAGCCGCCGTACGGTCATCAGCGGGATTCCTGTATGATTGTGCATGCACATTGATGGACCATGCTGCTTCATCAACCATTGAGAAGCTTACGGAGCAGGTTCTCCTCAATGTATATAAATCCTTGCGTTGGCTGCAACTTTCAACGGTCAACAGCCAAACTCGACAAGTTATTCGTACACAAACACATACCAATCCAACGTAATGTCAACTTCGAAGACCAACATCTTCCTGATCGGCGCGACAGGTGCGTCTCTGATTGCCTTTTCCATTGAGATAGGGCATCTCAAAATGCTAATTGCGATCTACAGGCTACATTGGCGGCTCGATTCTCACACGCCTTCTTAAACACACCAGTGCGAACGCCTTTGACATTACCGTGCTCGTACGCTCCGCGGAGAAGGCAAAGGTGCTCCAGGAGAAGTTCGACGTCAAGGCCGTCGTGGGCTCCAATGACGACCTCGACAAGCTCGAGGCACTCTCTGAACAATCGCACGTCGTCTTCTCCTGCGCAGATGCAGGCAACCTTGCCGCCATTCAGGCGATCCTGCGCGGCTTGAAGAAGCGGCACACGTCGACTGGAGATCTTCCCATTCTGATTCACACTGTACGTGCTCATAAGACATCTACTCTGGCACTCAGCGCTGACAGTGAGACTGGCAGTCGGGCACGGCCGTGATCGCCACGCAAGCCAAGGGGATATTCAGCTCGGACACCATCTATTCTGACACCGACGTCGAACAGATCAAGTCTATACCCCCCACCGTGCCGCACAAGGACGTCGATCTTGCTGTTATTGCTGCTGACGAACAAGGTGCGCACCCAATAGCACCCAGCTCTCCCCGTATCTATCGCACTCAAACACAATTTGCAGGCTATGCGCGAACCTACACCATCCTGCCGTCGACGATCTACGGCCAGGCGAAGGGTCCCCTGTTCGATGCCGGCGTCTCGAACTCAACCTCTATCCAAATTCCGTACCTCATCCGCGCGGCGCTCGGCCGCAAGCAGGGCGGCGTCGTCGGCCAGGGCAAGGCGATCTGGCCAGACGTCCACATCGACGATGGTATGTCGCTGACTATCCATTCCACCCCGTCGAACCGGTGCTGACCAGGTGTTTTCACAGTGGCAGACCTGTACATCGTCCTGCTCGACGCGATCACAGCAAACCAGGCGGGCGTCGGCCACGGTTGGGAAGGCATCTACTTCGGTGAGAACGGCGAGCACACATGGTACGACATCAGCAAGGCGATCTCGCAGGCGTTGGTCGAGCTCGGTGTCGGTGGCACGGATGAGCCGACGAGCTTCACGGACGAGGAGCTCGCGAAGTACTGGGGCTCGGTGGTGGGTTTCAGACATCCCCAGCCTATAACACAGACTTGCTGATGTTCCGTCATGCAGGATGTGGGGAACTTTAATGGCACGAATGCGCGTTGCAGGGCTGACCGCGGCCGGTCTATTGGTTGGAAACCGAAGTACACGACGGCGGATATGCTTGCGAGCATCAAGCCTGAGGTTGCGCTGTTGTGGGAAAAGGCCCAGAAGGAGGGTGGCGTATAGCTGTCGAGCTTCCGGTGAGCAGGAGAGGATTGCAGTAGAGAGTGTGTTTTCCTACGCCTGTCCGCTCGCACGGGGGCGGTTCTTGTATTACATTATCACACTGTATGAAGGAGTCCGGAACTGCTTGCTTCGATCTGTTTTCCACTGTCTCCATGCTCTTCGCTCCTGCTATGTCTGTCGCTTTGCTACTCGCTGCTCTCCGCGAGCATCGCCCTCGCTTCTGCACATCATACGCCTGGCCGTTTGCTCACCAGTGCCTCCATACCTTCCGCGCCCTCTACAGTTCTTGAGCTTTGCTCATGCTTGATCTCTCGCAGAGTATCTTGCACAACAAATTCTTGTCCTACCTCATCTGCGTCTGTTGCAGCCTGTACTCCTGGCCCGCTCGCATAGCACGGCCTTCCTATCGGATCTGCTCTGCCCTGCCCTCGTCCAGCGTCCTACCATGTTTTCCATTTAAACGCACACGCATTCCGGCTTCTATGTCATAGGATGAAATACGACAACCATTGTGAGCAGTATGTGTCTATTTACATTCATCGCGTGCGCCGATGTAGTATGTACACCGATCGCGACATACCCTGGCTCGTGCATCATGATATCTTGCCTCCCCTGCCATCGCCCCCTCCGAGAGCGCCTTCTTAACCTTTGCGCTACTTGTGCCCTTGGTTAAGTACCCGGTACACAATCCTGCCGAGATCGGCGTACATACTGAAGGCGTCTTCAATATTATGCTGCGGTCATAGGACGAGTCGACGAGACTCTCCCACGCTATCTTTGTCTGTGGGCGCGCAGACGATGCACGGGCCGTGGAAACACGGGGACAGTAGATTCGACATGAAAGGGTGTGTGTGATCCTTGCAGAAAAACACCACCAGGCCAAGGAGCAAGTGTGGTAAACAATACCAAATGAAGGTCGAAGTCGGATACGGATACAGTATACGTGTTATAGTCAACTTCTTGATATCCTCGTGTGCTGGCGCGCTCCTTGTCCGCCCGAAAACCGTAGGGCATTGACATCTTGCGTTACTCTCATGTTTGTTTGTTCCCGTCCGAGGGCGCGGAGCCCATTGCTAAGAGCTACTGGAGGCTCGTTCACACTCTACATGTACCTACGCTGTATGGAGTATAAACCCGTCGATGTAAAAAAAAAAAAGATATCCTCGTGTGATCGATCAGACGACATCAAAATCAAACCCTCACAAAACATTATACAGGCGTGCCTTTCCGCAACCTAGTATCTACGGTGTGGTCGAGGGAAACGCGCTGAAGGCCGAAGAACGACATCGACGGATTCGATCTAGTTCCTTTTCCCTTCTTTCCATTTTTTTTGTTCTTTCACGCGCTTCCATTCTTCAAAGATCGACATCAAAGTACGTACTGATTCCTGTTCTGACAACTATAAGGCTTGTGACGACGACGTCGAAGGGGCGAGAAAGCGGTTGTCGTAGGCTGGTCGAGGGTACCGACGTCGTCACGCGCCTGAGGGTGGCAGGTCGCGAGCGGAAATATGACGCATCGCCGGTCGGGGGCGTACACCTCCGAGAAGCTGAGACATTGAACTTGATCCGGGGACGTCGAGTCTCGCTTGTCTGTGCCCGGGATGGGGCTTCCATTCTTCTTTGTTCGATCCATTGCTGTTGGGCGCGTCATTCACTCCTCGTAGACTGGGTATGATGTCACTCCTGTCAAGGCTCCTCTGTACACATATAAGCCAGCGTCGGCGTCGAGAAAATGTATCTTCATTCTCTCCCTCAAACCACATCTATCTCCCACTTTCTCTCTCCTTCTGCGCTGGCATGGACGAGTGACCCGAGAGTCACACGTACGCGGTGAGTGTTTCGTGCGTTTATAATATCATTCTATCGGACACGCACCGTCGCTCGCGCGTTGTCTATCGGACACGCATCGTCATCATACCTCGCGTGTCGTCGTTCGGGGCGCGCATATAGTCAGGTCATCGCGGCCAAACACATTTCATTTTGTTCTAGCTAGCATACAGTCGCCAAGACTCTTCAACCATTTACGAACAGCGCTGCTCACATCGCTCCCACAACGGTGTTCTTGAATCTCATACCAAGACCCTCCGCAAGGCGCGAGCGATGTTCTCCCGAGTATTTCTGTCTGCATGTCTGCATCTTACGCCGCGGCACCACTCCCACCACAGCAACAAAGCGACGACGACTGGGCTGACTACCCTAGCAAAGACACTACCACACGATGGAGATATTAGCCGGCGTTCGACAGTGGAATATATTGTAGGATTCGCAGCAGCACCGCAAGCTAATAGGTAATGCCAATCATACACCTAGAGTCCAGGTTCATGGTCCAAGCCATGCTTTGTCGCGAGTACAGGACCCATTCTCTTACAGCAGCGTCCACGCGGCCAGCGCGCCGATGCCCGCCGCGAACACGCTCAGCGCCCCGCGGCTGCCCGCGCCCGACGTCGTCTTGGAGCCCTGCGCAGCCGTGCTCGTCGGCGACACGCTCGACGACGCGCCCGACGCGCTCACCACCGTCCCGTTCGCGTTGTACACCTTGATCGAGTTCATCGCGAAGTACGCCTCCGACAGCGCCGTCTGGTTCCCGCTGTTGATCACGTTTTGGAGGTACTGCCGCCGCACGACCCAATCCAATCCAGCAAACCAAACCAAACCAATTCGGGATTCTCGTCAGCCAAAACAGGGTGTGGGTGAAGCGGGGACGCGGGGACGTACGCAGGACGAGGCGTTCGCGGTCGACGCGCCGACGATGGGGCAGGTCTCGGGGTAGATGGACGTCAGGCCGGCCCTGCACGACGCATGACACACGACACGCCCGGTGAGCGCAAATCACAGTTGGAGAACGCGCAGCGACCTACCAGTCCCCGCACAGCGTGATGTCGATGACGATCTGCTGCGGCTGGAAGAACTCCGCAATGTCGCACGACGACGCCGGGTAGTTCGCGGACGGGGTGCCCCAGTCCGCGACGCTCAGCGAGCTCCCGGCGGAGGAGATCGACGACGGGATGTCCGCGCGCTGCGAGCACGCGTTTTTGTCAGCGTCTGCCGTGCGCTCACACTCGTCACTCACCCCCCAGAACCAGATGGAGATGCCCGTCGAGTCGAACAGGGTCGCCCACAGCCCGCCGCCGGCCGACGCGAAGCCTGCGCCGTAGCTGTCCGCCTTCGTCTCAGTCTGGGAAAGCAGGGCTGCGTCAGAACAGGCGCGGGATTTGGATCCGCCGGTCCGTGACCAGTACATACATATGTGCAGCCAGCAGCCGCGGAGCAGTTGGTGGGCCCGATGGTGCCCGACGCGTTCGCGCTCGAGGTCGCACTGCAGCCGCCCGTCGAATGGAGCGCCATCTGGTTGGACGTCATCCCGTTGACGCCCTCGACGATGTCGATTTCGCCGCCTTCGGGCCATTGCGCCGCCTTTGTCCAGAAGCCAGGCCAGACCTGGGGGCCCCCCTGTGTCAGCTATTGTATCGGCTTCGAGCGGCGAGCTACGCACGGAGCACCCGTAAGGCAGGTGTGTAGCGTCGAAGAGGATGACGCTCCCGAGCGGGAAATAGTCCTGGGTCGTGATCCGGACCTTCATCTCCGTCAGTAGGGTATCGGCGAGAATGCCGATTGTGGACCGACCGAGTTGCGCTTATCGTTATAGACGACAAAGCTCGAGTTATCGACCTTGACTATGGCCTGGCCCGAGCTGTCTACGTACGCAAGCTTGTCGGACGTGGCCAGCGACTGGTTTACGTATGTGACATCACCTACGCGGCGAAGACACTCTCAATGCAGGCGCCACCATCATGAAACAGACGCACCATCGGTGGTGTTGTCGTAATTCCCGTAGAATGTCCATCCGTCGAAGAAGCTAGAACCAGAGTACGTTTTGACCAGGCTGTAAGATGCGAGGACGGACGGGGAAAAGAGCGCTGCTGCGAGGAGAGCAGCCTTCATGGTGGAGTGAATTAAGGTGTTTGTACGGTGGCCAAAAACTGCGAGCTAGCTCGGGGTGCGCCAGTCTGAAGTGGAATGGAAAGGTAGCAGTGCAATGAGACCGTTCCTGAACTGGGAAGATGTCGGTTCCAAAGGGGCACTGTGGGAAGCAGAAAAAGAGACCAGGCGTGGGACTCTGGGAAGTGGTGGACAGTCCGTTGCCCAGGAAAGCTGGGCAGGAGCGGTTATATACGGCATGGCTCGCGGGTGCACGACGGCAAACAGCTGCGGATGGCAGCGTCATGGGCACTGCGGAGGAGCTCAGCAGCATTGCATGAGCTCGCCGCTGCTGCCGAGGCGCTTCTTCATGCCTCATGAACGACCGCGGGCTATTTCTGCCGCGTTCAAAATAGCAGCGATTCAGATGCGAACAGACACATTCACCCACGCAAGCAGCTTCAAGCGCGTACAGGAACATTGCAGGGAACATGATGATAATGTGCGCCTTCATGCCGTAATGCATGGTTAGTGTACTTCAGTATCTGTACAACGCCTCGATTGAGATGCATGATGTAATGGATATCATTCAAGGGCGCTACAAGCTAACGACCAACACACCCAAGGACTGACTTTTCGACGAACAATGACATAAAAGCGTGGGATGATGTAGGACAGGTCCAACCGATGCAGGCGAACTATGACTTCGCCCTAAAAGCAGACACGACACGGACCATGGCGAATGGAGGTCATGCGTACATCCACAATAGCAACACCAACACCACTTGATCGGATGGCGGTCGATCGAGATAGACGCAAGGCCCCATAGACACCGACCTCAGAACCAGAGGTAAAATCGCGAGCTTGCGCTTCTGCTTCCGCCAACGAAGAAATACGGCCGCCGATCCTGGAGGTCTTCGCACACGTGAAGGATGCTTGAGGTTCTGGCCCTGACGGGATATTAAAAGGGCGGGCATAACAGTGTCGACACGAATTCAGGTTGCGTTGCATCCAACATCAAGACGTGGGTCTTCAGACAACTTCGAGCGAAGGAGCAGAAGACGCAAGAACTCTGGTTCATTTGTCCTGCACGCGCATCTGCTCGTTCGTTCATATCCACTGCCCAGAACGAAGCGATAGGCGATAAAAGACTTTTCTCCCCTCACTAAGCGGGGCTGGGGCCAACCCTATCCACACAAAGACTCTGCTGCACCAATGAGGGTAGGGCGAACGTCGGTGAAGGTTTGGGAAGAACGAGAGACGGCATGTGGTCCGTGCGCACGATGCCGGCATGTTTGGCCGTGCTTGCGCTGATTCTCACGTGCAGGGTATATAGTGGCCCTCGTGACCGGCGTCGTGACCTCTCCTTTCTCCCCCGTGATCAACTCGCCCCCAGTCTCCTGTCGCGCTCCCCGAGGCCGACGCTCCCCTCGTCGCCCCCGACAACGACGCCGGGCTCACTCTCGACATTCTCGAGCTACACACCTATCTTCCCCCGGGATATTGATTCGGGCCACCCCAGCACCCGCTGTCGACTGCCTATCGGAGACACAATGGCCACAGCACCCCCGCCTAACCACGATCCCTCCCTCGCGCCTACCGGTGCTCCTGCGCCGCCACAACCACCTCCAGGCTCCCAGGCTCCCCCCGGCATGCCCGGCGATGCCGCCATGCCCAACGCCTTCGGTAACCTCGCCTCCGAGCAAGTCATGGCCATCCTCAGCAAGATACCGGGCTTCGGCAACATGAGGGTACGTGCCTCCCCGCCCGTGCCGCCCATAGCCCGCCGTCCCGCAGGGTCGGGTGTGTGCGCACGCCCGCGCGGACGATGCGCGCATACCCGACCCCACGTGATCGTTGTCGACAGTCACGTTCGCGTTGCCGCGATCTGGCACTGACCGCCGCGCCCATGCTGACAGGGTGATGTTAAGGACTCTGCGGCCGCGGAGGCGCTGTCAAATCTCGCCGCACAGGCGTCGTTTCAGCCACACCATCCAGGGCACATCCCGCACCCCCACCAGCCCCCGCCGTACCATGTCGTCCACCCGCATCAGCCACCACACCCGCATGGGCTCGGCAACGAGCCGGGCCCGTCGACGCACCCGCGCGGCCCCCCAGATCTTGGCCAGTTGGCGCAAACGGCACTGCAGAACCCGCCACCCGGCGGCCCGCCTGTTTCTGCGCCGATGCGAACACGGAGCCAGGATGCGCCAGATGCACCCCCGCCCCTTGACGGCGACGCATCTTTAGGCGCGAACGGAGACCTCTCACCGGAGGGCACTCCAGATAACACAGATATAGTGGGCGCCGTAAAGTCGGCATCAGGCGGGCGTCGGGGGGGACGTGCCGCCAACATGAGCAACGACGAGTGGACACGGCAGAGGAAGGACAACCATGTATGGCAATCTGTTCCTCCATGTGCCTCACTTCTTACATCTCTTTATAGAAAGAGGTTGAGCGCCGGCGGCGTGGCAACATCAACGAGGGAATCAACGAGCTCGGCCGCATCGTACCCAACGGCTCTGGCGAGAAGGCCAAAGGCGCGATCCTCTCCCGCGCCGTGCAGTACATCCACCACCTCAAAGAGAACGAGGCGCGGAACATCGAGAAGTGGACGCTAGAAAAGTTGCTCATGGACCAGGCAATGGGCGACCTGCAGGCGCAGCTCGAGGAGATGCGGCGCATGTGGGACGAAGAGCGCATCGCACGCCAGCGCGCGGAAAGCGAGCTCGACGTTCTTCGGGGGTTGCAGCAGGGCCTCCCGCTCAGCGCCGCCGCTGCAGCCGCTGCCGCGGCGGTGGCGAGTGCGAACGCGAATGCACCGATGCCTCCGGGCCCGGCGCCAGCCCCGGCCGCCGCTCCCAACGCCCCCTCTGCATCTGCCACTACGCCTGCTCCTAGCTCCGCCCCTGCTTCCGCCCCCGCCGCACCGCCCTTGGAGGCGCGCCGCTCCAAGTCCCCGGAGACGTCGAAGGACGGCAATAAGCGGGAGAGAGACGAGTCGGACGGGCAGGACGCCGCGGCGCCCGCGGGCGAGAGCGAGTCGGGGGCGAAGCGGCAGCGGGTGGAGTAGTCTTCCCTCGCGCACAGACGCAGCCTGCCTGTAGGATTGTCTGGTGCTCGTCTCGTCTCGTTGCTCTGTCTTTCTTCGTTGTCGTCGTTGTGCTGGATTGTGTCTTGCATGAGTCTCGTAGTGTCTTTATCTTCTGTGACTGTTTGTTGTATTAGTAGTGTATCCGTTGTCTTTTGCACGCGATCCGACATGAGACGACGGCGTCCGAGGCTCTATCGGGCGAGCACTGTGATGAGTACGTTCAGCGGCATCATTACGGCGTTGGATATCTCTCTTGCTGTCCTCCCCGATCAGTGTAAAGTCAGTACTGTACGATTAGGGCCTCTGAGTGTACCCGAGCCCCGAGCTTTCTGAGTAACCCGGACGCGGAACATACTGAACCAACACAGACATCCCCAGCCTGTGAGGGTCTGAATCTGGGGGGGTTTGACCTGTGTCACATCCCGACATGCTACAGGCTTAAGGAGATCAGCCCTCGATGCCTGCATCGTATGTGTAGTTGTCTGTGAACGAACCGATTCCCAAGCGAAAGTCGCAGTATACCGTGATTACATATGCTGATGCAGCGCTATTAAATGCATATGACTTGCTGAAAAAAGCCACTAGTCTCGTATCAAGAAGTGCTTTGCGTGCGTTTGTGGCGAGCCTGAAGTGAGACCGAGTGGTTAGCTGGAGTTATTGAATACCTGCCAGATGGAGACAGATCTCGATCATCCCCGTGTACTGCTTTCCGATGAACTTCAAATTCGCCTGGGCCTCGATAGTCGTCCTCTTGTTGGATTTGCCTGAATCTGTCGGCATGTATCTTTACAGTTCGACCTGGGAAAGAACCTTGAGATTGACGAGGATGTTCGGCAACATGACCGGCGTGAGGATGCGCAAGCAGATCGATGAATCATCATGAAGTATCGAGAAGCTGACTGAGCAAGTCCTCCTGAATATATATACTCCTCACGTTGGTCAGCATTCGACGTCCAACCCCAACAGCATACCTCAGCACGTCGTTTGAACACGCGCACATCCCAATCCAACGTGATGTCACCTTCGAAGACCCATATCTTCCTCATCGGCGCGACAGGTGCGTATCTGGTTGCCTTTTGCATTGATGTAGTAAGAGCATCTCAGAATGCTCAATACGATCTACAGGCTACATTGGCGGCTCGGTCCTCACACGCCTTCAGAGCCACGCCAGCGCGAACACCTTCGACATTACGGCGCTCGTACGATCTGCGGAGAAGGCAAAGGTGCTCCAGGAGAAATTTGGCGTCAAGACCGTTGTAGGCTCTAATGAGGATCTCGACAAGCTCGAGGCACTCTCTGAACAATCGCACGTCGTCTTCTCCTGCGCAGATGCAGACAACCTGCCTGCCATCGAGGCGATCCTGCGCGGCTTGAGGAAGCGGCACGCGTCGATTGGGGACCTGCCCATTCTGATTCACACTGTACGTGCTCATAAGACATCTACTCTGGCACTCAGCGCTGACAGTGAGACTGGCAGTCGGGCACAGGCGAGATTGCCACGCCGGCCAAGGGTATGTTCGCCTCGGACACCATCTACTCTGACACCGACGTCGAACAGATCAAGTCTATACCCCCCACCGCGCTGCACAGGGACGTGGACCTTGCTATCGTGGCTGCGGACGAGCAAGGTGCGTGCCCAAAAGCATTCTCTCCGTCCATCGCACTCAAGCATGATTTGCAGGTTACGCACGGACTCACATCATCCTGCCGTCGACGATCTACGGCCAGGCGAAGGGCCCCCTATTTGACGCAGGTGTCTCGAACCCATTCTCAATCCAGATTCCTAACCTCATCCGCGCGTCGATCGGCCGCAAGCAGGGCGGCGTCGTCGGCCAGGGCAAGGCGATCTGGCCGGATGTCCACATCGACGATGGTGTGTTTACTGGCCATCCTTTCCACCCCGTCGACCTGGCGCTGACCAGGTGTTCTCACAGTGTCGGACCTGTACATCGTTCTCTTCGACGCGATCACGACGAACCCGGAGGGAGTTGGGCATGGCTTTGAGGGCTTCTACTTTGGGGAGAACGGCGAGCACACGTGGTACGACATCAGCAAGGCAATCTCGAAGGCGCTGGTCGAGCTCGGTGTCGGCGGCACGGATGAGCCGACAAGCTTCACGGATGAGGAGCTCGCGAAGTACTGGGGCTCGGTGGTGAGTAACAGCCATCTCCAGCCTACACTTCAAGTTCGCTGAATGTTCCACCGTGCAGGATGCGGGAAACTATAGCGGTACGAACTCGCGTTGCAGGGCTAATCGCAGCCGGTCGATTGGCTGGAAGCCGAAGTACACGACGGCGGATATGCTTGTGAGCATCAAGCCTGAGGTTGCGCTGTTGTGGGAAAAAGCCCAGAAGGAGGGTGGTGTGCAGCTATCTACTTCGCGGTGAGCATGAGGGAAAGGTTTTGAGGAGAAGTGTTTTTTTGCGCCTGTCCACTCGTACGGGGCGGCCTATGTATTGTAGCACATTTCATACACGAAGAACGAATTTTGGAACAGCTGTGACCAACTCGATAGACCTCCTCTCGCAGATTACACTTCAAGAAGTTCGATGGCAGCAGCATGGAACCTACCACCAAGTCTTCGAAGTGACTTCGTGAAGCCATCGCATACGACGCAAGGCGTGTAGATGCTTGTCTCTTATAACGCTCGTTAACTTTCCTTTGTATTGTTGAGCTCGATAGCGCATACGGAGAAGCTGAATTTCGTTTCTCTACCCCAGCCTGCCTGTAATTTCTTGCGACGATGTCTGGCAATGCCTGTCGTTACTGGAATTTCTGCCATTGCCGCCGAATCGAGCCGAGTCATGCTGATAGTCCTGGGGGACGAGCACGGACATTGACATTGCCGAACAAACCACTCGAGAAATATTTTCAGTTTGACTTGTGGTAATTAGTGCTAGCTGCTCGGCATGACATAGGGAGGCAAATACGGCATTCGGGCAAGGTTGCTGCAAAGCACGTTGCGGCGATACTGACCCCCAGATTGGAACTTCTCTAGTTGGGCGGCTCCATGTCTCCTGTGACACATTTGGGGGCCGAATTCGTGAGATCTCCTGCAACGCGGTGTCGAAGAAAGAGTGCGGACGGTCGCATGCGGTACTGAAAAGACGGAGACACTTAGGATAAGTGTTATGGCAATAGAGCGACGTCCACCTAGCACGCAATGCAGCATCTTCGACATTGAGCCATGCAGAATGCCAAGTAGTGATGTAAGGTAACCAATGCAATAAACCCGGGCTATCATCCTGATGTTACTGAAAAATGAAGTTTTTCTTACCCTCCGCCAGCACGCAACCGCGGATAGACCGTACCGCTCCTCCCACACAATATGCACCAGGGCCCGCCATGACTTCCCGCGGCTCGTACAATGTCTGACTATCCTCAACCACGTTCAGAGTCTGCCACCGCTGCGCACGCAGAAACCACGACGGCATCAGATTCTTCCACGCCACACGGTGCGCCATTGGGTCGACCGCGGTGATCATCTCGAGCGGGCGCGACGTGTAGGACCGGACACCGGTGGTATGTGCACTTCCGTAAGGAGGTACAAGCCCTCGCGCGGTGTTTGATCGGGCAGCGGCTCCTTGGAGAAACTGTCCAAGATCATCTATTTGTGTCTGTTGTACCCGTGTCAGCTAGCGGTGTCCACTGTCTACGTAGGGACCTGTAGATCGTGCCTTCGTCAGGTGTGTGGTCACTGACTGAATTACGGTGGCTCAATGGGCTCAAATTGCAGACGCGTGTTTAGATGAATAGCTGAATAGTGGCGGTGACAGCAAGGTCGGATGAATTCAGCCAAGTGGCACAGATCCAAGATGATCTCCGGCGCCCGTGTGCGGCAGCCACAGACGCGTCCATCACGTGGAAGGTTCGCACAAGTCACATGCCACACTTCCACCGCAGAGAGAAGTTGAGCTAGGTATCTACAAACCGCATTCTTGCCTCGTTACGTACCTGAGGAATGATTATGAAGAAGGTGTAGCATGCGATGTACGCGATCATTGCGAATTGAGAATGTCTCGTCTCTACATATCCGTGTCAATCACAATGGTTATGCATCCATGGCTTATGTCTTATGTGGGTCTAAGCGTGGCCGTAACTTCCGTCTTTGTGTTAGGGACTAATCCATTCTCACTTGTCAAGTTGAGCCATCTGGCCAGACTCCACATTATTCACCAGACAGTACTGATAGCATAGCACGCGCCGTCGGGAGCATCATAAGTGATAAGTCGGTGCCAATACTGCTAGTCACATATCCGGGCGCAGACCGGACGCAATTCAGACTCAGCTGCTTGCCGTTTCAAATCACGACGGCGTGGATCTGTGCCCGGTCGTAAGTAGCTCAGGATGCCATACAAGGCGCACTAAAGCGTCAGCCTTCCGACTGATATGTGATTTTTATACGTGCTCTCGTTCGTGCTATCTGCGCATCAGCATCCAGTGATCGTTGACGATGTGACCCTCGTGTATGAGCTTCTCACTACAGCGTCACGGCCTTCAGCCAGCAAATGAAAAAGAGCACTGAGAAAGTAACGTCTTGTCGGCACCTGGCGTCAATTTTATCTTCTGTCACCTGGATGAGGGGGAGCCTCATAGTATCATCAAGAGAGGTACCGCAGTGCATTTCATGCACATCGACAGAATGCGACATATGGAGCCACAGAACTAGATGGTTCGCAAGATGAGACAGCTCAGGACAACATCGTAATCCTGTAGCAGGATGCGTCTTTGCCATTTGGTGAGAAAAAGCTGAAGGCTGCAGTAACATGCGTTGAACGTGAGATAATCATTCTGCATTTCTGACAGGAATACTGAATCGCCTGTGCAGCCCCAGGACCCGCTGGTCAGATGTTTAGAAACGCGTCAGTCACGACCAGCCGCATATCCTGAACTCCCCACGAAATAGCTCCTAGTTCTCGTGTGCAATCCATATCTAGGTTGACCCTCAATGACACTCTACAGAGACCGGGGGGTCGTGAGCAACTAGATACTTAGTGAGCGATCTGTGCCAAACTACTGTGCAGGTAATTTTATGGGTTTGGATTCAAGAAAATCATCGGCAAGGGTCACCGTAAAATTACCATAGACTTCTATGACACACATCTCATTGTTCGCGGGTCAATGGCAGGAACCGAGAATCTCATCATGACTCGCCGCAAGGGCTGTCTAGCCTCGCATTCAGCCAGCCTAGCTCTCGGGTCATGACTCCAAACCGGTCATCTCGTAGTCCATCGGGACATCCTTCCTCTCCAACCACGCAGCATCTTCACCACCCAGGTCTACGCCCTTCCCACAGTCGAGTCTGCGGCGCGAAGGCAATTCCTTCAGCTCGACGCCCCCATCCTTTTCTCCCGCGCGGACGACGACATAGTGCTCGCCGTGCCACCCGACAAAGTCGAGTGAGGGAAGCGCCAGAGCCACGGCGCGTGCACTAGTCACCCAGTGGTCCGTCTGCATGGTAAATTCTTTTTCCGAGAGCAGATTCGGCTGTGGGCGATGCGCTGAATGCGAGCGCAAGTGAAGCATGGACAGGGTGGAGAACACGCTGAATGCGGGTGCATATTCGTGCTGCAGGGAGCACCCGTTAGGGAGCTCGAGCCGATCCGCTAGCGGCACGGGAGACGTACCAGAGGCGCATTCGAGACCACGGTATTGAGATGCAGCGCGAGCAACGTCTTCGGGACCGCCTGTATCAATGCGTCCACCGCTTCCGTGCACAGGTTCGCAATGCGGACTCGCAATACGCGGAGGCCTGCGAGGCCGGGGAGCACACCGCGCACGAGCTCCCACGGGCAGCTGCCCAGGTCGAGCCGCCTCAGGCGCGGACGCTGGCCCACAAACTTCGTGACCGCCTCAAATAGCGCCCAGTCGTCGTCGTGCCCTACCGTCACGAAGCGGAACGCCTCGAGGTGCGGCAGCACCGCGTGATCCCCGCCTATGACGTGGTCGCTGCCGAACACGACGCGCGCCGCGGCGGGGTCCGCGAACGTGCCGTGCAGTGTGAGCGACCGCAGGGCAGACGCATGCATTATGCGCACGAGCACTGCATGCGAGATGCGCGTGTCGACGAGGTCGAGGTGCGTCAGCGCGCGCAGCGTCGCGGACTCGAATGCGAGGTCCCACGAGTGCGTGCGTTGCAGATGCGCGCCGAGCGTCAGGTGCCGCAGCGTGCCGGCGTTTTGGTCCAGCACGCTCCGGACCTCGCCCATGTCCGCGAACCCGTCGTCGTCTTCCGCCCGCAGACAGAACTTGTGCAGATTGTGGAAGGCGGACTGAGGGGGTAGTGAGTAACAGCACAGTGGGGAGGCGAAGATTTGCTCACTACGCCGACGGCGTCGAAGTGCCATCCAATAAGCCCGACACTCTGCAAACGGGGATGGCTGGCCAGGACTGCTTGCACCATATCCGCTCGCATCTCGGGATACCCAATCCATTCAAACTCCCTAAGAGCCTTGAACGAGGGCAGGGTCGTACGAAACAATCCTTAGCGATCGGTATCAGCACTGTATCTCAGAGGCAATGAAGCTCCTCACTCAACATCAAGTCGAACATGTCGCCCTCTTCAGATGACCAGTGTATCCTCAAGGTCCTCACCAGACTCGCAAAACCAGGGTCCGCCTTCACGCGATCGAAGATGTCGAGTCCACGATTGACGCTCTCTTGGTCCTCGCCGAAGTACATGTCAATCGTGCGGAATATTCTTCGTACGGCGATGTCCCGGTGAAAAGGTGAGACAAAGAACCACGTGCGGAGGTGATAGCGGGGGACAAATGTTGCAATATGCTCCCAGATCTCTGGTGGCGCTCGTCGACTTGCTGGCAGATTAAAGAAGGGGCTCTGAATGGGAATGGGTGCGTTAGCAGTACGCTCGATGCCTGTGTGGTCATGAGGGTTATAATCTTTGTCGAACCCTTGTGCGAACCCTGTATGAGATATATGTCTTCGAGGACTGTCGCAAAGAGTCGCAAAGAGATGAAGTTGTGACATTCCTCGAAGTTCGCCCCACACGTGCCTTCAGCGGTACGGCATCCGCACACGCGGTCGGTCGCCAATGAGGAATCAGGAAGATCCCATTGGACGAACACAAGGATAACGCAATCCAATTGCCTGACTCTGCACTGCTCGAAGCAATGTAGCGGGAATATCACCTGGGTAACACTAGCACAACGTCAACGATGCCAAGGCGGTAGGACTTCCGAACCCCGGCTGAGTTCCGAACACCCAACCCGACAAAGTATAATCAAGCAACAGGCGACGTTGAGGACGCCTCTCGTTACCGATCCCTACTGCCGCGGTGGTCGAGCACGAAAAAGGGACACTGGGGTATGAGATCACTGTAAAGCCAGATAAATGTGCAGCCGAGGGCAGATCAGATGCCACGGTTACAGTCACCAGTCATCTTCATCTCTGAAGCTACTGAAGCCAGAGCCGAGTAAAAGATTGTGTACAAGAGAAACAGCATGACCACCATGTTTGCGGTGTGCGACAAAGGTGAGCAACAGGACTGACACGTCGGTGGCTTCCAGCACATAGTGCGCTCATAGTGACAGCATGCCTACACGACATGTGTGGGCAAGCTGCTTTGATATGAAAATCAAAGCAAGGTTACAGGCTACATGAAATAGTGCAAACGCAGCCCATTTGGCGGATAGGGGGTAGGGTAGCGAAAATACGTACGCTGTACTCTCTACAATGTTGGCGTACCGACCGACTCGGCTCGAGCCTAGCCATCTCTAGTAGATCTAAACAAATGAACCGCATATAATTTGCTTAGACCGACTGCGAGCGACAGAATGAGAAAGCTCACCTTGCTGAGCTCGTGCCAGAAGCCGCTCGCCAGCTGCTTTTCTCGCGTTTGCGCGCGCTGAAAGCGCTTTTACGACGTTTGCCTTAGGTAAATCAGGCGTACGGAGGTAGACCTCCAGATAGCTCTCGACCTCTTCACCATATCTGCCAGCTTCGAGGAGAGAAAGCGAGGTTTCCAGCAGCAGATCTGCCTTCCTGGCCGACGACAAGGTCCCAAGTGCCCCGCATACAGTAGCTGTGAGCTCGTCGGTGGGGGTCATGGTGGAGGAAGATACGGTGAGAACACATGTCGAGCGGCGGTGGGCGTGGCCATGGACGTGCCAGACGGTTGGGTCGCCCGGAGGAGTGGTACGCTCTATCCGCGGCTGCGGGCTGGCGGAGGGCAAGAGAGGAATTTCCTTTTCCAGTAACACCAGGACGATAGTCCGGGTTTACTGCATTGGTTACCTTACATCACTACTTGGCATTCTGCATGGCTCAATGTCATAGGTGCTGTATTACGTGCTAAGTGGACGTCGCTCTATTACCATAACACCTATCCAAGTGTCTCCGTTTATTCAGTACCGCATGCGACCGTCCGCACTCTTCTTCGACCACCGCGTTGCAGGAGATCTCACGAATTCGGCCCCCTAAATGTGTCACAGGAGACATGGAGCCGCCCAACTAGAGCAGTTTCAACCCGAGGGTCAGTATCGCCGCAACATACCCTGCAGCAACCTTGCCCGAATGCTGTATTTCCGTCATGCCAATCTCCCTATGCCATGCCGAGCATACTAGCACTAGTCGTCACAAGTCAAACTGAAGCTGGTCCTCGAGTGGCTTGTTCAGCAATGTCAATGTCCGTACTCGTCCCCCAGGACTATCAGTATGACTCGATTCGATTCGGCAGCAATGGCAGAAATCCCAATAACGACAGACATTGCCAGACATCGCCGCAAGAAATTACAGGCAGGCTGGGGTGGAGAGATGAAGCTCGGCTTCTCCGTATGCGCTGTCGAGCTCAGCAATGCAAAGGAAAGTAAACGAGCGTTATAAGAGACAAAAATCTACACGCCAGTCGTGTGCGACGGCGTAACGAAGTCACTATGAAGACCCGGTGGTAGGTCCCATGTTGCTGCCATCGAACGCCTTAAAGTATAATCTGCGAGAGACCTCCTCTCGCAGATTAGTCACAGCTGTTCCAAATTTCGTCCTCCGTGGATGAAATGCGCTACAGTACATAGGCCGCCCCGTACGAGTGGACAGGTGCAGAACAATATCTTCTCCTCAGGTCCTTCCTTCCAGGCTCACCGCAATAATAGACGGCCGCACACCACCCTCCTTTTGAGCCTTCTCCCACGCCAGCGCAACCTCAGGCTTGATGCTCGCAAGCATATCCGCCGTCGTGTACTTCGGTTTCCAGCCAATCGACCGGCTGCGATTAGCCCTGCAACGCGAGTTCGTACCGCTATAGTTTCCCGCATCCTGCACGGTGGCATATTCAGCGAGTTTGTAACGTAGGCTAGAGATGTCTGTGACTCACCACCGAGCCCCAGTACTTCGCGAGCTCCTCATCTGTGAAGCTTGTCGGCTTATCCGTGCCACCGACACCAAGCTCGACTAGCGCCTTCGAGATCGCCTTGCTGATGTCGTACCACGTGTGCTCGCCGTTCTCCCCAAAGTAGAAGCCCTCAAAGCCATGCCCAACTCCCTCCGGGTTCGCCGTGATCGCGTCGAAGAGAACAATGTGCAGGTCCGCCGCTGCGAGAGCACCCGATCAGCTCAGGGTCGACGGGGTGGAATGGATAGCCAGCGACATACCATCGTCGATATGGACATCCGGCCAGATCGCCTTGCCCTGACCGACGACGCCGCCCTGCTTGCGGCCGATCGACGCGCGGATGAAGCTCGGGATCTGCATCGAGAACGGGTTCGAGACGCCGGCGTCAAATAGGGGGCCCTTCGCCTGGCCGTAGATGGTCGACGGCAGGATGATGTGAGTTCGTGCGTAACCTGCAAATCATGCTTGAGTGCGATGGACGGAGAGAATGCTTTTGGGCACGCACCTTGCTCGTCCGCACCCACGATAGCAAGGTCCACGTCCCTGTGCAGCGCGGTGGGGGGTATAGACTTGATCTGTTCGACGTCGGTGTCAGAGTAGATGGTGTCCGAGGCGAACATACCCTTGGCCGGCGTGGCGATCTCGCCTGTACCTGACTGCCAGTCTCACTGTCAGCGCTGTGTGCCAGAGTAGATGTCTTATGAGCACGTACAGTGTGAATCAGAATGGGCAGGTCCCCAATCGACGCGTGCCGCTTCCTCAAGCCACGCAGGATCGCCTCGATGGCAGGCAGGTTGTCTGCATCTGCGCAGGAGAAGACAATGTGCGATTGTTCAGAGAGTGCCTCAAGCTTGTCGAGGTCCTCATTAGAGCCTACAACGGACTTGACGCCAAATTTCTCCTGGAGCACCTTTGCCTTCTCCGCAGATCGTACGAGCGCCGTAATATCGAAGGTGTTCGCGCTGGCGTGGCTCTGAAGGCGTGTGAGGACCGAGCCGCCAACGTAGCCTACAGATCGTATGGAGCATTCTGAGATGCCGAATCTCAATGCAAAAGACAACCAGATACGCACCTGTCGTGCCGATCAGGAAGATGTTGGTCTTCGAAAGTGACATTATGTTGGGTTGTGGCGTGCGCGTGTTCAACCGGCGTGCTGGGGTATACCGTTGGATTTGGATGTCAAATGTTGACCATCGTGAGGAGTATATATATGGATGTCAAATGTTGACCATCGTGAGGAGTATATATATTCAGGAGGACTTGCTCAGTCAGCTTCTCGATAATACTTCATGATGATTCATCGATCTGCTTGCGCAATCGCACGCCGGTCATGTTGCCGGTCAACCTTGAGGTTCTTCCCCAGTCCAAACTGTAACAGTACGCGCCGACAGATTCGACAAATCAATAGGAGGCTCATCGAGGCCACGGCGAATTTGAAGTCATTGGAAAGCAGCCCAGCCTCGGGGTCCGTGCGCGTGGTGATCCGGCGCACACGGGGGTGATCGAGATCCGTCTCCATCTGGCAGGTGTTCAAGAACTCCAGCTAACGACTCGGTCTAGCTTCAGGCTCGCCACAAACGCACGTAGGATACTTCTCGATACAAGACAGTGGCTCTTGAAATAAGTCATATGTATTGAATGGTGCTGCTTCAGCAGATTTGTAGAATGGGGAATTAAAAAAAAAAGTTTCTGGTCAATTGCCGCCCTGGCCGCCCCTTCTGAGTCACCCATCTCTTGAACGTTGTGTAATGATGTCCACAAGGATGTGCAGTACAGAAATGGGGAGGTCAATGTCGCTGAAGGGCTGCATATTAAGGGAAATACAAAGGCTTAAGATGGTGCAGTGCCGGTTGTTTTGAAAAACGGGACAGAAGCCATGACCATTGCGGTATTGCGGGGTAGTATTTTAATCAAACGCGAACGTATTTCATCTAGGGGATACTACAAGCATGACGAAATAATGATAACGAAAAAGCCGACTTTGAGACGAGAAAGTGGCTTCGGCCTAGCCAGGACGGTCTACAGGAAGAAAAGGAAACTGAGCGCGCCTCACCCAATCTCGATGACACTGCAATATATATCTGAGAAAATGTACGAAGGTAGAGTTAGAAGAAGAGCGAGCGAACTATAGGTACTTACGCTTCTCCATTGCATTTCCCTCAGTTCCTTTGAGTGATTTATCGCCTACTAGGATTTTGATCTATTGCTCCTTCGTATTCATTCGACGGACTGGATGATCTCCTGTTCACTGTAAGCAGCGCAATGATCATTAGGCACATGATTACTCATCAGGGATCAGGGACATTCCGAATTGCTGCCACTCCGTGTTGGACATGCACAGAGATGACTCAACTACGAGCGCGAAGGCATAAAAGCCCACTTGCTGAGCTTGGAAAAAGGCTGATCATCAGGCTATTTATCCCCATCACATATATCAACTACAGAGGTTGCATTCACGGCGGTCTCTGGCAAGAGACTTAGAAGTTCACTATGACCTCTCTGCATAGGGGCACTGTATTCAAGCTGAAAAGACACGATCAAGCATATATATGCAGCAGATCCTGTTGTGATTTGTATGGCGGCGATAGATTCGTGTCGGCGCCACCGACTTAGTATCACGTATGACGCTCCCGACGGCGCGTGTGCCATGCTATTAGTACGATTTAGTGAGTAGTATGGAGTTTGAACCGAGGGCTCAAGTTGTCAAGTAGGAATGGACTAGTCCCTGACACAGAGACAGAATTTACGGCCATGCTTAGACCCACATAAGACATAAGCCATGGATGCATAACCATTGTGCTTTACACGGATATGTAGAGACGAGACATTCTCAGTTTGCAATGATCGCGTACATCACATGCAATACCTTCTTAATAATCATTCCTCAGGTACGAGGCAAGAATGCGGTTTGTAGATACCTAGCCCAACTTCTCTCTGCGGTGGAAGTGTGGCGTGTGACTTGTGCGAACCTTGCACGTGATGAACGCGTCTGTGGCTGCCGCACACGGGCGCCGGAGATCATCTTGGATCTGTGCCACTTGGCTGAATTCATCCGACCTTGCTGTCACCGCCACTATTCAGCTATTCATCTAAACACGCGTCTGCAATTTGAGCCCATTGAGCCACCGTAATTCAGTCAGTGACCACGCACCTGAACGAAAGCACGATCGACAGGTGCAAGCACCGGCCGACTAACAAACTTCACAACATTCAAGCATTGTCTCTTCCAATGCGGGGACCAACCACGTTTCTCATTTGTGTGTAGAATACTCTCTTCCTTTGTCCTTCCAGCCACATCACTGACGGCTGCTCTCCTCGTGTTTTGCAGCTCACGGAAATTAAACAGGCTGTTGAAGGTGGCCATCCTGATCACAACTCCTGGTCATATAAAATGCAGCAAGAAACATCGTTCGAGGATCACCAATCAACATGGAGGGTGAGCCATCCTCTAGTGCCTCCAGGGCCAACACACCTGCTAACCGGAGCGAAACGCCGGTCTGCATCAAGGCTACGCAAAGCGCGTCTTACATGGAAGGCAACCTCGCTGCAGCTCGCAGAGCTGTGATGAAAGATCTTGGGACGACCGCACCGGAGGTCGACGCTGACTTCTTCCAGACATACCTCCTTCCTCGGCTTCCCGTAGGCGTTGACATCAACCAGGTAGTCAACGAACTCCACAAAGAAGATATCAAAGGAAACCGTTGGGTGGCATTCCAAAAGGATCCCAAAAATGCTGGCGGGAAGGAGAATGTCTGCTTTAAATCTCTCGAAACTGTGGCAGCAGCCATCGAGAAGGTCGCTGCCAAGATGACAGGCGAGGAACCGCTACTCAAGTTTGTCCAGAACCCGGACGGCGCGCCAAGGTCCAAGATGAGGACGTCGAAAAGTCGCCCGGATGGATTTTTCATTCGCAATTCAGGGCCTAAGGGTAGGTTCCGGTGGATGGACATCGCGCTTTCCGCTGAATACAAGAAAGTGGAGAACGTTACAACTAAGGATGATGTAAGTGCATCTCATTTCACACACATATACTTGGCTGATAGCTGTGGCAGGATGTCCGAAAGGTAATCTGGAGCATGCATCACTGTATGCGGGAAGATGCGAGACGTCGGTTCACCTATGGGCTCACGATTGAAAATAGGACGATGCGGATGTGGTTCTGCAGCCGTACAGAGCTGCTTGTGAGCACGCCGATTGATTTCATGTCGGTGAGTTGTGCCTTCATCGTATCCTTCGTGTCTCCTGCTCACAGTAATCTGTTTAGGAACATCACAAGGTCGCTCATTTCTTCGTCGCGATGATGTATGCGGCTGAACATGAGGCGGGATGGGATCCCACAATGGAATACGTGCGCAAGAAGGATGGCTCGGACGACGAGCTTGAGCCAGACATAGAAGGTAAACCCCGCCTCGACATCGATGTCCGAGATCAGAATGGAACAGTCGTACGATATCGGACGATAAGATGGTTATCGGACGATGGCGCAAATGGTCTGCGAGGCAGGGGTACGCGCGTCTGGGAGGTGTGTATACTAAGTGACGACGGCGAGGAAGGTGTCGATCGCTTTGCTCTCAAAGATCAGTACATCGATGCCGATCGACAACGAGAAGGCATGATCATCGAGGAGCTTCGGAATACGGAAACAGATAATGCGACAAGAGACATTATCGACCGATCGCTACTCACTGTGGAACATCACGGAGATGTCTACGTGGAAGGCATGCTCGATCATACCCGCAATCTCATGACGCGCCGTGGCGAGCCGAACCCCCATTTTAGCTTCAAACTCCAACAGGTTCCGGAGGACGGTGTTGAAGAGACCACCACAGCCAAGTTGAGCAAACAGACACCGGCAGGCGTGGGCCACTACCAAACTCCGGAAGAGCTGAGGACGCCCCCCGCACAGAAAAACTTTACATATCATGCAAAGGTCCATTACCGTATCGTGTTCAAGGAGGTATGCAAGCCTATTCATGAATACACCTCGCTCAAGGACGTCTTCTACGTGCTCGTGGATGCTGTGCTTGGTGAGTCCATGATTTGCTGTCGCGCTTGGTTTAGGAACTCACTGTCGGATTGTACAGCACTGGTGGCCTTGCATGAGCTTGGATGGGTACATCGTGACATCAGCATAGGTAACCTCCTGGGGTTCATTCTCAATGGAGTGCTGCATTGCAAGCTCTCAGATCTCGAATATGCAAAGCGGATGGATGATCGTTCGGGTCACGAAATCCGGACTGTGAGTATCAGACAACGTTCACAGTTTGCATTGCTAATTACCGTCGCCTGTGAACAGGGCACTAGATCGTTCATGTCAGTCGAGGTCTATAATCTGAAGTACAGGTTTACCTCATCAGAAGCAGAGGCGAAAGGGGCCAATCTACCTCCGAACGTAATCGATTCCAACCAAGCGGCTTTAGACTGGTTCGAATCCTTCCACCGTGGCAGCCCCGTGAACGTCGACGTGCCAATCAGCAAGGATGGCCCCAGGGTGCCCTTCCGGTATAATCCCCTCAATGATATTGAATCCCTTTGGTGGGTGGCAATATACTTCGTCTTCAACAGATCGGTGGTCAAGGTCGGTGGCGAACCCCCATCCATGGACGCGTCGCAGCGGGGACACTACTTCACTCAGGAAGCGTATACCAGGGATTTGATCGCAACACCGCATGCAAGATTTGCAGCCTTGACCGACAAGGATGACCTGCGGGAGGAAATCATCTACTTACACGCCGCTATACGGGATATTGCTCGCCATCTCAACGAGATCAGGAAGAAACTAGTCAGCTGTTACAAAGAGGCTGAGAAGAAACCAGGCGTAATCACTCCCACAATTGGTCAAGACCTACTTCGCGGCGTCTTCTTACCATTTTTCGGAAGCATTGTTGCTAAGAACCTTCGGGAAAAGGACATTCAAGTCGACATTCTCCGCAATGATCCACGACAATATGTCGAGAATCCGTTAGAGATCCCGACTCAGGCCGACCGTAAGGACGGCGTTACCGACGACAATGGTCCCGCTGATGATGATGGCACAGAACACAATTCAGACGAAGGTGACCAGGGATCCAGTCTCGCAACTCTAACTCGAGAGGTGAGCGTCGGAGACGTCGCCGCAGAGGCAACTGCCAAAGACGGTGCGCAAGGCGTAATTGTCGAAGACTCTGATGCTGGACGATCCGTCGACAAGGCTACCGGTCCATCCGCCCCTCAAATCTCGACAGAGCCCATTGTCGAAGGACGCTCTACTCGTCCGCAGCGCAAGCGTGCTCCTCCCGTCCGATATACGGGGACAGAGTACAATTTGAAGAAGGGCACGGCGAGCAAGAGCGCATCATCGTCATCAGCTCCGACTACAGCAACGCAGGCTGCGACGGGCCAATCAAACACTAAGGCGGCGACGAAGTCGAGCACGAAGGCAAAGACGAAGGCGAAGACGAAGACGAAGTAGGTGCAGCCTCGGGGCGTCGGTACGGTATGGCCATTCTGTTCCAATCTGCGGCTTGGCATCGGGACTTTGGACGTCATACGCCCTTCATGTCATGCTACGTCATTCTGCTGTTTGTCACCTATTCTGGACACTATCTATAATTCTGGACGCTGCTGGTTGTACTACTTTATTTACTTGGATCTCGTTGCCTTCGAATGTATTATGACTCTTATAACTACTAGTGTCATTCATATATAAATACTATTCCAGTGCCATTTTGTCCGAGAGTGAGCGTTCATCGGCATGCCGCTCGGGCGGCTCACCTGCTAGTGAATGTCGCACTGACCCGAGACGCCTCGCCCTTTCGTCTGGGAATTCAAAGTCGATGACAGAAAGCATATCGCGGACCCTTGGTAAATGTATCATGATGATAGCGCAATCTTATTGGACGGAGCCATACAGCAACCATGCCGGGTCCCCAGGCGGATATGATACTAGATTTGAATAGGGATTTTGAAAGAAAAACCACATCAGGAAAACAGTCTGCTAGTGTAGCAGACCGCATCCTATTTAGCGCTATGTAGCCGCAATAGTAGCGCCCGCCTCTATATAGCGCTAGCTAGCCTATGTAGCGCTATATAGACCGCTGCAGGGCAAGCTAGGACTATGCTGCTGTATATACGTACTATGTAGCAATAATAGAATAGCGCCATGTTTTGATGGATATATAGCAATTTGTAGCCTACTAGTTTTTAGATCGACGGGTTTATACCAGTGTTGGGCCAGTCGTCTGCCAGTCGCCCCAGTCGTTCCCACGACTGGGGCGATTAATCGACGACTGTACGACAGTCGAAAAGTCGCGGCGACTTTTTCCACGGCCTGAGCAGACACGGCCCGATATTCACGTGCGCAATTCTGGTACGCAGGCGCCCGAAGAGGCCCAATGACTTTACTTGGCTGCCTCTCTCTGTCATTGAGAGATCTATTCGACTTCAAGATGCCGCAAGGATGGAAAAGAGGCTTGGACATATTTGCAGGATGAAGTTGAGTTGTATGAGCTTCTTGACTTCTCATCTTCGATGCAGAAGATAGTATTGACTGAGTGCTGAGTCTCTGCTAATAGAATATACATGTATTTTCTTTTACACATCTTGCTACCATCACATCCTGTTGTGTACATTATTTTGTGGCCAAATCTCCCTCAGGTGTGGCTGAATGGTCGTGGGAATAGTCGCTACTGTGGGAATAGTCGCCACTGTGGGAACAGTCGTCGTCGTTTGTAGTCGTTTCGACTGGCATCATGCGACTAAACGACAGTCGCACGATCATTTGACGACTCGCACAACACTGGTTTATACTCCATACAGCGTAGGTACATGTAGAGTGTAAGCGAGCCTCCAATAGCTGTGAGTAATGGGCTCCGCGCCCTCGGACGGGAACAAACAAACATGAGTGTAGCGCAAGATGTCAATGCCCTACGGTTTTCGGGCGGACAAGGTGCACACCACCAGTAGGGTGGGGCGCGAGCTATCCTCGAGACGCGCATGCGGCGAGCCGCGCGCGGGTCCTGTAGGCGAGAGAATACAGAGGCAGCGGGGGGGCATCTACCACCCGCCCGTCGGTTCCTGGGGAGGCGCCAAGCTTGAGGAGGCGCGAGACGTGAAGGGGGAGCGTGACGCGTCGCGAGCATCCCGCTCCTCCCAGAGAATGAGGAGATTATCAGCGCGTGTCTCCACAGCGCACCACGTGGTGAAAACGTCGAAGTCGTCACTGCGAGCGCAGGCGAGCTCCGGGACTTTACCTCGGTCCTGGTAAAACCGACGCCACCGAAACACGCGCTCGGTGGTATGAGCTTGCAGCCGTGCGTTCGCGCGAGAATGGGGACGCCCGGCTGTGCGGTCATTGAGCGCCTCAGCGAGAATCTCCGCCCACCCGAAGGTAGAGACTATGGGGTTCAGCCGTAAGAACTCTGTTGAAACGCGCAGCCTGTCACGAGTTGGTACGGCGTCTAGCCGTTTTTTAATTTTTTCCTTTTTGCGGGCTCGAACCCGCGACCTCTGTACTACATACCGGATACGGACGCATCACTATCTACTGTACGATTAGATTAGATGGGGCGGCAGCGCACGGCACAGCTCGGGCTCCGCTGACATAGCCGCTCTGACTCACCGGCCCCCGGGGCCGCGTCGG